AATTCTGACCCTACCATCCGAATGTCGCAGCAGAAATCGAGACTCATCAGACCAGGCAACGTTTTTCCAATCTTCTATTGTCCAATTTCGATGAGCTTGTGCAAATTGTAGCCTCAGTTTCCTGTTCTTAGCTGAAAGGAGTGGCACCCGGTGTGGTCTTCTGCTGCTGTAGCCCATCTGCCTCAAAGTTCGACGTACTGTGCGTTCAGAGATGCTCTTCTGCCCACCTTGGTTGTAACGGGTGGTTATTTGAGTCACTGTTGCCCTTCTATCAGCTCCAACCAGTCTGGCCATTCTCCTCTGACCTTTGGCATCAACAAGGCATTTCCGCCCACAGAACTGCCGCTCACTGGATGTTTTTTCTTTTTCGGACCATTCTCTGTAAACCCTAGAGATGGTTGTGCGTGAAAATCCCAGTAGATCAGCAGTTTCTGAAATACTCAGACCAGCCCTTCTGGCACCAACAATCATGCCACGTTCAAAGTCACTCAGATCACCTTTCTTCCCCATACTGATGCTCGGTTTGAGCTGCAGGAGATTGTCTTGACCATGTCTACATGCCTAAATGCACTGAGTTGCCGTCATGTGATTGGCTGCTTAGAAATTAAGTGTTAACGAGCAGTTGGACAGGTGTACCTAATAAAGTGGCCGGTGAGTGTATATATATATACAGTCTGGTGCAGAGGGTGGAAGGTGTTTTCCTAACACATGACTTTTCAATAAGATAGAGAAATGTTTATAATTTGATGCAATTTGAGGAACTTACTCTGACATATTGTCAGATTTATGCAGATTTCAGTTTGATGCTGATATCAGCTACTGAGTCTCACTGTGCTCTCTATTTTTAAACCTCCAGGGAGGAATGATTGACAGAATAGAGAGCAACATGGACCAGTCTGTGGGGTTCGTGGAGAGGGCAGTGGCTGACACCAAGAAGGCTGCCAAGTTCCAACAGGAGGCGCGCAGGGTGAGTTCATGCCCATTATTATTCACTGTTAGCAGGAAACGTTCAGAATGACTGATGGCGGCGGGCTGCAGGGAGAGGCTTAGGAGCTGGACTGAGATCATTATGGGATGAACACTTCAGCCTTTGTGTTGCTCCACTCAGTCTGTGAACCTCTGTCCTCTCTGCTGCCACACATCCTGAAAACCAACGTAACTGTCAGATCAGAAATAAAGCAGGAATGTTTCTCTCTTTTACTGATTTATATTACAGACTACCTGATTAACCTTTTCTTTTTTTCCTACAGATCAATGTTCCCTACAGTCCTTAGTGTCTGCATTATTTTCATAACCAAACATTGAGCCCGCTCCATCCTAAACAATCATTTCCAAACTTTTAAACTCGCATTTTAACTTTCCAGCTGTCTCAGCAGAAACATTAACTAAATCTGCATCCATTATCTAGACATCCTGCACCTTTTGAGCAGTAGGAGAGGCACCTCATGAGCTTCTGAGCATCTGAGGCGCTTCAGAAGCAGCAGCTGCTGTAGTTGTATAATTGAACTTTGCGCCGAGAGTAGCAAAGATGCTTCAGCTGCATGTCAGAAGTAAACTTGTACAAGCATCAAAAATGAAGCAGCAGGTGCGTTTTTGCCGCTTCTGCTGCTTCTACTCTGAACGTAGCATTATAGCAGCAGTTATACCAAGATTGTATAAAAATATGAAAACATTTTGCCTAAAAAAAAAAGAAAAGGTTTTTGTCCATCAATATGCTCTATGCAGAACTCGTCATGTGGAAACGTTTTAGTTTCACCTGGCTACCCAATTATTTTTGATTAATCAGAAAAAAACATCAATCGATTTGCAAAATAATTGTTAGCTGCCGCCTTAATGCTCACTATTAAAGCCAACCACAGGGAGACCTTAGATGGCACAGCTGGACTGCGGGACAGGCTGGTGGATTAAAGCACAAACAGAGATTTATATGGAGAGAATGTTGTTACATTATTGTTGGAGAGAAGAAGTTTAATAAATGAAAATATAAAAAGAAATCCAGAGATGATAATTTAAAAGACTTTTTATTTTAGCTTAAAAAAAACTTTTTCAATTTAACTTTGCAGTTTTCAAAATTTAGAATTTTTTCAAATTACTGTTTTTCGGTTGGGTATTATAAATAATTGCATTCTTCATGTCTGGAAGTGGAGTTTCCTCTGGAGAGAGGAGCAACGATGCATTTCTATTGGTCAACAATGATGTAGACAAAAACAATCTTTATGGGAGAAGAGTGAATCATTAAAAAAATTACATTTGAAAAGAATACAATCTTTGAAACTCAGTCTAAAAAAGACACATTTTAAAACAAAATTTGAAGTTTTTCAAGGTTCATTTTTGGATTAAATAGATTTTAAAATATCATTTAATAAACATGGTCTCTGTAGCAAAACCTGGAACAAGATTCACTGGAGATTTATTCAAAATAAATCAACCAGCAGCCAAAAGTTTGCACACCCCCCTCAGGCAGGGTTGTTTAGAGGATTATTATCATCATAACTATATCTAGGGATCGTCTCAGGTGTTCACCTGATGAAGCTCATTGAGAAAATCAAAAGATTTTTTTTAAAAATATGAAAGATTTATTTATTTATTTTTTTTACTTTTTTGCAATATATCTATAATTTTCATAGTATTTATCTTATAGTATATTTTTAGGGTTTTGAAGTCTTCACTCCATACTGCACAGGTCAGCTGGTCTGACATCAGAGTAAAGTTTAAACAGTAAAGATCCAGATAAACCAGATCAGTTATCAGATGTCAAAAGGAAAAGAAATGAAAAGTCAAGCAGACAGAAGTTGGGTTCAGATTTAGGAGCAAGTGAAGGAAATGTCAATCAAAGGAAACAGCTTTCTTCTTCTCTGGTTTTAACTCAGGCTGTATTCTGGATAAAGGAGCTATGTTTAACTCCAGCTGTCTTGTTAACCAAACTGCTTCCCTCTTTTCTCCAGAAACAAATGATGATCTTCTGCTGCTGCTCGATTCTGGCCCTCATCCTCGGCTCCTTTGTCTACAGCTTCTTTAAATAGAGATCTCTGTCTGAGGCCACTGAGGCCCACTTCAGCAGGAAACAGGGGAATGTTGTTAAAGGACTCTGCTCAGTGTCGCTCAATTTAAAGAAAGAAAGGGAAATACACGGGTATAAAGCATTTCTTATTTTTGATCAATCATTTATATTTAATTGTCTTTATAAGCTTATATTAACCTTCCTAACCAGGGGTTGTCTCACAACAGTAAAACATCCACTGTTATATCTAAGAAAATCCTTCTTCCAAAAAAAAAAAGATCTTTGAAAGTTAGATGGACGGATTTATTCATAACATTATTTATCAACTCTTGCAAATCTTAAAATAAACTGGATCTAACCATAAAACTGTTAAACTAAACCATTTCCAAGTCACAGCATTCCTCCTTTAACAATACTCCAGATTAGGGCAATTGATTGCATTTGCAATATAATTACAATTTAAGAGGCACAATTTTTTTATCGTACTGTATTTAATAATTAAAGTTCATGAAATGATTCCTATAAGACAGATATCAACTCCTTAAAGCCAGCAGGTTTAAGTTCTCTAATGTAACCTCTTAGTGAGTTAGAATTATTGGTATGAAATTAAAATAGATTTGAATAAGTTTGTTATATATATGTTTAACAATATTACTTATGGGTTTTTTTCTAGACGACTGCATCATTGCCTTGAGGCTTGATTTCTACTTGTTGTGGGTCTTTGTTTTATTGTGTTTTTATGATAAAGCTGTGAAAATGAAATCATTTTAAGCATATTTTATTGTGCTTAATGCACCTCTGTTTAGAGCTTTTATGGCAGCCCCCTTCAGCAGTGATGATCGACTGGTTCATGTTTGGATATGAACCTCCTGCTGCTCCTGCTGAGCTTCTTTTAAGTGTGAAAATAAGCCTTAATGGACGTGTAATCTGGTCAGGGTGCAAGCCCGTTCTCTGGGTCAGTCTAGTTAATTAGAAAACAAAAAACATGAAATAATCTGATTTGAAAACAAACATTAGTGAAACAGGTTGGACATGAAACAGCTAAAACCTATTAAACATTCTTCTTCTTCTGTTGTGATTGAAGCAGTGTTAGCTTTTCCTACAAAGAAACTGTGTTTTTGTGTCCTTGTTAAGCTTTAATCAGTTAAGGAGGTTTAAATAAAGTAGAAAATTTTCTCTTGTATAAATTTGTCCCTTTCTTTTTTAGATTACAAAAGAAGAAACATTTTTGTTTGTCAGTCCATCTCAATAAAAAAATATATTTGGCGTTGCCTCCTTTTCAACATATTGGACTAATATTACTGATCCCGTCTGGCTCTTTAATGACATTTGGGTATTTGGCTAAATATTTTCAGCTTAAACAGACATTTATGTATTTCAGTCTTTAGACAAAAGCAGGATAGCGCTGTCTCCGGCTTGCCGTAGGTCAGATCTACCTATTTGAAGGACAAGCCTCTCCAACCAATAACAGCAATCCTGCAACACAAGCCAGCCAATCAACGGTTCTGATAGAATGATGACGTTGCGTTTCTATCAGAACCACCCACTTCCTTGTTGGGCTGAAGCATGACTTGGATGTGAACCCTGGCAGCAGCAGCAACAGCAGCAGCTCAGAGGCTTCTCCGCCTGCCGCTTCGCTGCTCCCGTTCTGAAGGGAGGGGCCGCTCTCTCTCACCATGGGGGTAAGCGCCTCTACAATCCATGGATTCCCAAGTATCTAATATGACTGATGGCTAATTTTTACTTGGTGATTAAGGCGGTGTTGACGATGTGTCGCATCGTCACCTGGTTGGCTAGCCTTCCGATTGATAGCTTGTTCATCCAGCCAATAATGACAGTGGAAATGATAGCCAATGAGATGCGAGCTCTGAGCACCAGTGTTGTTCTACTCGTCCAATCACCGGTCACGCTTGTCTCATGGCGAGCGTTGCCACTATCAGCCAATAAGATTCTCGATAGCTGATGTGTGATTGGTCCAGAATGAGTTGGTGGGCGGGATCTAGGATTGTTATGCGATGGAACAGAAAATGGCGGCTTTTAGAGACGCTCGCATCTTTACGCGCTGTGGAGTCCCACACAGGGCTAACGTTTTTGGCTTTTAATGAGGTTAAACTTGTTTTTATGCGTATATGTGCACCCCGAGGACACGGCGGGGTTCCGGTCTGAAGTTCCTTAAACTCTGGAGACCTAACGGGATTCTGCTAAGAACAAAGCTCCGGTTGGTCCTGAATTTAAAGAAATTAGTCAAACTAAAATAATTTCTTTTAAATTCTGTTCAGTAATTTAGACGCTTTTTTGGGACGAGTCGTAACACCTGTTCAACTATTGGCACTTCTCTGTTTTGTTTCTCCGCCTCGTTAATTCCCTTTAAATCAGAGCAAAGCAACGGTCCACCGGTCCCCGCCTTTCTGTTTACTATCAAAGAGCCATGTGGCCCCACGGCGCAGGATAGAGGGCTGCTGTGGCCCCACGGCGCAGGATAGAGGGCTGCTGTGGCCCCACGGCGCAGGATAGAGGGCTGCTGTGGCCCCACGGCGCAGGATAGAGGGCTGCTGTGGCCCCACGGCGCAGGATAGAGGGCTGCTTTGGCCCCACGGCGCAGGATAGAGGGCTGCTCTGGCCCCACGGCGCAGGATAGAGGGCAGCTTTGGCCCCACGGCGCAGGATAGAGGGCTGCTCTGGCCCCACGGCGCAGGATAGAGGGCTGCTCTGGCCCCACGGCGCAGGATAGAGGGCTGCTTTGGCCCCACGGCGCAGGATAGAGGGCTGCTTTGGCCCCACGGCGCAGGATAGAGGGCTGCTCTGGCCCCACGGCGCAGGATAGAGGGCAGCTTTGGCCCCACGGCGCAGGATAGAGGGCTGCTCTGGCCCCACGGCGCAGGATAGAGGGCTGCTCTGGCCCCACGGCGCAGGATAGAGGGCTGCTGTGGCCCCACGGCGCAGGATAGAGGGCTGCTCTGGCCCCACGGCGCAGGATAGAGGGCTGCTTTGGCCCCACGGCGCAGGATAGAGGGCTGCTCTGGCCCCACGGCGCAGGATAGAGGGCTGCTTTGGCCCCACGGCGCAGGATAGAGGGCTGCTTTGGCCCCACGGCGCAGGATAGAGGGCTGCTGTGGCCCCACGGCGCAGGATAGAGGGCTGCTCTGGCCCCACGGCGCAGGATAGAGGGCAGCTTTGGCCCCACGGCGCAGGATAGAGGGCTGCTCTGGCCCCACAGCTCTGGCTCCTTATCTGTAGAGAAAGTCCCAGGGTCCCCAGTGAAAATGGATGATTCAAAGCCACGCTACAGCAAAAGGCTGGTAAGTTCATCAGCCTCCAGATACCGGAAGTGAAAAAGGGAAGCTCCTGATCACATTGCATCATTTGGCATGGATATTTATATTAATCTGGATTTAAACTGTTCTTTTCATTGTTATTCAGCATACTGCTTAAAGTAGAGGTTTTTAAAGTTACTTTGCTTTTCTAGTTGCATAACTAGTTCTGTTTTGGTAAAAACCCCGGTTTCTAGTTTCCTGTTGTTTTTGTCCTTTGGGCTGAAATCTAATCTTGAGACACTTTTCCTTCCGCTGAGTTTTGTTCTATCAGGGATTTCCCAAAACAAGCTTCTGTGGATCCCATACTGCTATTTTAAAGTTGTATGGAAATAATTGATAATCAATTTGGGATTATCAGTAAGTTATAGAAGGATATATAGCATTCGGTTTACAGCTGTGTCCTCCTCTGTAATGAAATGTTTGAAGGTATTTCCCACTTTAAACCAGATTTGTGCTGCTCCTGAAGTCCTTCATGTTTCAGGCTGTTCTTTCACTGCCAGTATCCAGCATACCAGGCTTCTGCTTCTACGACGTTCTACAAAGCGACCATCAGGAATCTGCTGCTGCTCAGCAGTGGAATCTAAATCTTTATGCTGCTTTCAAGTAAATGATTTCCGTCATGAGGAAATTTGAAGTCCAGCAGCTGGCCTACATGCTGTCATACTGGATTAGAGCTCGGTCTGGGATTAGCACTCTCATAATCTGAGAGGTCTCTTGTTTCCTCTTAGATAGATGGGTTCATTGTATCCTCAGTCTCCTCTGGTCTCGGTGTAACTGAATCAGCAGACGTCTCTTTTTATTGCATCTTCTCTCAGAAGTTTCCTACTAGGACTGAAACAATTAATTAAATTAATCGTGATTAATCAATAATTGAAATCACTGTCAACTAATTTAGTAATTGATTAATCGTTAACTGGAGTATAGTCTCTAAAACATGTCTTTAGCTGACAAAGTGACCAAATTAGAGTAACAGTTATATCAAAATTGTAAAATTAATAAACAGCTTTCCTTTAAGATAAAAAAAAATGTTTCATCTATCAATCTGCTCTATCTAGAACTCTTCAAGTCATTCCAAAAAAGCTACAAAAAAAACAATCCACTGGACTTTGATTCTAAGTTTAAAGACATTTATCTTCCCATCAGGAAGCTTTTTCAATTGAAAATGTCAGAAATGGCATTTAGTTTGAGGCTTTATAGCGTGGACCAAAACAAAGCCTTGTTTGAAAACATGCAATATGAACCGGAATTGGATCTCTCAATCCACCTGTCTTCTTTAAGGACCAGAATGTTCACATTTTGGACAAAGAAGACGGGCGGTTTTAGAGGGGTGTGAAGGAAGCCATTTATGTTAAGAGAAAACAACCATTAACAGAGAGGGTGGACTCAGGTTTCATCTTTCAGAAACCTACAATGCAGTGAAAGAATTGATTCCTTCCCGCTATCATTGCAGCCCCAACCCCTTTACAGGGGAACAGATGACCTCGCCTGTTCAGCCAGACCAACAATTCCCTTTAACGACCCCCCTTTCAGAGACATAGACAGTAGAGACTGACACGGGAGTGGATTTTCACTCCTGTCCCGTCCCACTCCCACAGAAAAAAATGGTGTCCCATCCCGATCCCGGGCCAGAGTAGAAATCTAAATCCTGTCCCGTCCCACTCCTGGTGAAATTACTCCCACTCCCATCCCGCTCCCATTCAGAATGACTCCCGCTCCTGCACCACTCCCATTCTTGTTGTTTTTGAGCGCGGGTGAAAAACTCAGAGCGGAAGTTACTATTGGTTTGCTCCCGCTCCCGTCTGCTCCCGTTAATGTTTAATCCTGTACCGTCCCAATCCCGTGATCGTTACTAATACTGACTCCCATCCCACAGGAATTCCACGGGAATCCCATGACCCGTGGGATTCCCGAAAAAATGACAGTCTCTAATAGACAGGTATGGGGCATTGCAGGTTAACAAAAGAAACCAAACGACCCCCATTTCAAAGGGGTGGACTTGTTTGTTTGTTTCAGTTTGCATGTTTCCTAAACAAAAACAATGCTTTGTATTTGGTCCACTATATAAAGCCTCAAACTCAACGCTATTCCAGACATTTTGAAAAAGCTTTCTGGATGGGAAGCGAAGCGTCTTAAAACACTTGTTTTTTAACTTCTGTAGGAAGTCTTCTTTAAGGAACCTTTGGCTATCTTGATTATTTATCGAAAAATAACCAAAAGATCAATCAATTTGCAAAATAATCATTATTTGCTGGCCTAGTTCCTATCGCACCTGTAGAATTCATTCTGTTGTTAGTTAGCCTTTATCTGTGTTCTCATTTAGTGTGTGTAACGGAGTCTAATGCCTTCTAAGGAACATTCAGTTGAGCAGCTAAACTAAATGTGTCGCTTGAGGACAATCTTTGAACTGGCCTCTAAAGTCACACTCGGACAGGAACTGCATCAGGCAGTGATGAGGTCGTTCAGCGCTGGTCCATCTCTGCAGAGAAAGCAGGGTCTCTGCTCCATCAGAAGCCTGACCTCCCCTCATCGTGCTGTCTGTAGCATTTCACCGAAACTCCTTTGTGGTCAGCATCATCTACCTTATTCTGTTACTGGGTTCTGGTTCTGAACCTTGAAGGTTGGAGTTTCTTCCTGGTTTAGCTACAGTCTGGAATTTGAATTCAATTCATTTTATTTCTATAGCGCCAAATTCACAACACACGTAATCTCAAGGCACTTTACAGTTCACCAGTTAAATTGACTCAAAGTTTTCTATTATAGGAAAACCAGCTGACTGAATCGACTCATTGACTCAAGTTTAATCCCACACACTAAGCAGTGACTGTGGAGAGGAAAGAACTCCCTTTTAACAGGAAGAAACCTCCAGCAGAACCAGGCTCAGTGTGAGCGGCCATCTGCTGAGGCCCACTGGGGTTCAAGGAGACAGAAGCAGAGATACAAAAAGCAGCTGTAAAAGGCGGCCCCGTCCAGGAAACACACAGCCAGGCAGACGAGCTCCGAGCCAGCTCCCATGTCAGAGGATGAAGAGAGCACATCCAGTTAGTCACAGTCAGAGAAACAGGACTACACTGAAAAGCAGGCCAAGCTCCAACATCAACAAACAAAGGTGTTGATGGCAGCAGCACAGCTGATATTTCTCTCCAGGATGGAGTCACAGCCAAACAGGAACAGACCAGATGAAGCTACTATGAGAAAAAGCAGAGAGAGCAGAACGTTAGAGATTGAACTAACAGATTCTGCAGAGTGGGAGAATAGAGATGGAATGATGATAAGCACTTTATTTAGTTTTTTTTCTCCTTCCTTATTGTGCTCCACATCAGCGGGCCGGAACTAGAAGACGTTACCATGACGATGGCATCTCTGATGAGGAGATCGATGGAAGGAGGACGTTCGACTTGGAGGAGAAAGTCAGCAGCGAAAGGTTCAGTTCTGACCGGATCGTCCGCATGGAAGGAAAAGGTATGTGTGGACCGTAGGCGTGTCGTTTCTAACCATCATCAGACCTTCATCCAGCCCGTCTCTGTCTGCTCCTCCTTGTTTAACAGACTTCACATATGAGTTCGTTCAGAGAGGAGGCCTGAGGGACCCAATCCTGTTTGAGAAGCCTGATGGCCTGGGTCTGAAGTAGGAACAGCCTCTGTCTACATCCTCTTTCTGTTTATGGTGGCAAACAGAAGCTAATCTGTCATCTGAACCTCGGTCTGTTTCTCTGCAGGATGCCAGAACCGGACTTCAGCGTCAATGACGTCAAGACGTTTGTTGGTAAGATTTTTACCGGCAGTTATTGGTGGCCATATTGTCCATTTAGTTCCCTCCCTCCCTCCCTCCAGTCAGACGGTCTGTAATTCTAAATGCCGTCTCTGACATCAGATGACCTCTAATCCCGCTCAGGTTCCAGACGCATGATAGATGTGATGGATGTGAGCACCCAGAAGGGGACAGAGATGTCCATGGCCCAGTGGACGCGTTACTACGAGACTCCTGTGTCTCAGAGAGATAAACTCTATAACGTCATCAGTCTGGAGTTCAGCCACACCAAGCTGGAGAATCTGGTCAAGAGACCCACCACGGTGCGTCATGGATCCCACAGCTCTCTGACATCATTTAAGCCAGCCTGGTTGTTCCTAAATCGGTCCTCTGACTGTGTTTGTAGGTGGAGCTCATAGACTGGGTGGACAACATGTGGCCTCGTCACCTTAAAGAGAGACAGAGGGATTCAACCAACTCCATCAATGACATGCAGTACCCAAAGGTCCAGAAGTAAGTCCACTCCCTCCTCTCCAGCAGTTATAACCCAGACCCCACCCTCCTGACCCGTCTGACTCCAACCACAGGTACTGCCTGATGAGTGTCCAAGGCTGCTACACAGACTTCCACATCGACTTTGGAGGGACGTCCGTCTGGTACCACATCCTGAAAGGGAGGAAGGTAGGAACAAAATCCACTGAAGGAATCTGAACAGCTGGGATCTAAAACCACATGAAGACGGGCTGTTGGTATGTAAACGTTAAAGAAAGAGTTTTTGTGTTTTAGGTGTTCTGGTTGATTCCTCCTACGGATCCGAGCCTGGAGCTCTATGAGAACTGGGTTCTGTCTGGAAAGCAGGGAGACATTTTTCTGGGAGACCGAGTGTCTGACTGTCAGAGGATCGAACTGAAGCCGGGCTGTACCTTCATCATCCCCTCAGGTACGCTAAGAGCTGAACGAGTCCGACGCGGTTCTGTTTGAGATGAGGATAATGCTGATTAAACCCTCAGGTTGGATCCATGCCGTCTATACCCCCGTGGACTCCATGGTGTTTGGAGGAAACTTCCTGCACAGCTTCAACATCCCCATGCAGCTGAACATCTGTAACATAGAGGACAGAACGCGGGTAGGTTCTGACGCCGTCTCTGGATCCGTTAATAAGCAGGACAGGGTCTAAGTCAGGGGTGCTCACACTTTTTCAGCATGGGAGCTACTTTTGAAATGACCAAGTCAAAATGATCTACCCATTATATTTATTGAGAAAAATATATTGAGGATTCTTACAACTTATTTTAATGTATAACCACATATGTTGAACAACACAACATAACAATGTACATTCTTTGCCATTTTCTGAGTTCACTCTGATGACTTGCACTGAATTGAATCAGCCAAGGATATATAGTCAGGACAGTAGCTGCTGACAGCCAGCCTCAAGCACATTTCCAAATGCTCATCAGTCATAGTGGAGCGGTACTTGGACTTAATTATCTTCATGTAGGAAAAGGCTGACTCACATAAATAAGTGGAGCCGAAAAATGCAGTCAAGGAAATAGCACATTTCCTCATGTTGGGATACTTTCCCTCTGCTAGTAAGTTCCAGAATTGTCCATGAGCTCTGGACTTCAGCTCAATGTCAGCTTGTAGTGTGAATATCTCATCTTCCACTCCAGAAGAGTTCAGGTGAAATAGTGTTGCAATTTTTGATGAGAGTGAATCAATCTCCACATCTTCCAGAAAAGGAAAACACATGAATGTTGCAACTGGCTCCAGCAAAGAAAAGTCTTGAAAGCGTTTTTCAAACTCTGACATACAGCTGTCAATCTGTTCTGTGTAGCGTTCACTGTCAAGTTGCACACAGGCCTTCCCCTGCATCTCCAGCTCTGACGCCAGGTTCTGGAAGTATGCCAAATCATGACGCTGCAGCTTTGAGGACAGATGTTGCAGTTTGCGTTTGAAAGCATTAACTGAGCTGATCATATTGATCACTGTTTTGTCTTTTCCTTGCAGCTCTAGATTGAGGTCGTTCAACATGTTTGTCAGATCAGTTAAAAATGCCAAGTCTAACAGCCATTCACCGTCACTTAGTTGTTTGTATTCTGCATGCCCAGTTTCACGGAGAAACTCCTTAATCTCTGGGCAGAGCTCTCGAAATCTTTGCAGGAATTTCCCTCGGCTAAGCCACCTCACATCAGTGTGTAGCAACAAGTCAGAGTGGTCGCAGTCAGCCTGCTCCAGATGTGCACGGAACAACCGTCTTTGAAGAGACCGGGCTCGAATAGCACAGGCAATTTTCGTTGCGACATCCATGATTTCTTTCATGTTGAGCATTTTAGCGCATAATGCTTGTTGGTGGATTATGCAATGGTAATTCAGAAAATCTGGGAAAGCATCGTCCTGCCTACACTTGGCAATAAATCCATTCAAGTGACCAATCATTGCAGGTGCGCCATCTGTGGTGATAGACACCAATTTATACACCGGCAGCTGGGTTTTCTCAATAAAGATTTTAAACGACAGAAATATGTCCTCTCCTCGCGTCTTTTCTTTCATGGGCAGTAATGTTAACAGTTCCTCCTTTGCAGTCATATCACTAAACACCATACGAATAAAAACGCACATCTGTGCTGTGTCACTTACATCCGTAGATTCATCCAACTGCAGTGAGAAACACTCGCAATCTCCGATGTCCTTCCACATTTGCTGCGTTAAGTCCTCAGCCATGGCTTCACAGCGCCGTGTAACTGTACTCCTTGACAGCTGGAGAGCTTTGATCGAAGACAAGATTTCTGCTTTATTTTTAAAGTCCCGGAACAATGAGTCCGCTGCTTCAACGAATGCCTCTTTTTCCATCTCGGAATGACTTCTTGTTTTTAACGATGATGTGACTTACTCGTAACGATGCTTCGGTAGCAGCTTTAGCTTTAGAAGTAACTTGTGTGAAAAATGACTGCCGTCCCAACAACTGGGATTTTAGCTCCTTCACCTTTGTCTTTCTCAGCTCGCTTTTCGGTGGGAATTCAGTGTCGTATTTTCCATGAAGAGTCCGAAAATGTCGCTCCACATTTCCCTTCTTTAGTATTGCGAGGGTTGATTGGCAGATGAGACAAACGCACTTTGAAAATGTCATTGTGAAAAAAAAGTCCTCCTCCCATTCTGTATGAAAGTGATACGTTTTTTTTTTTTCTTACTTGGTCCAGCTTCCCCACTCATTTTCATAACCGAGCGAAAAATTAGGATGCAAAAATTAGCAAAGTTAACAAGCTTGTCATCTGATTGGTTGTCATCTGATTGGTTGTCCTGTGTATCAATCAAGTGTCGGTTTGGCTGATAGGCTGACGTCTACTTTTTATTCAAAACAATTCAACTTTATTTGCATAGCGTCAGTTCATGACAATCTCGCCTCACCTTGTCATGCGATCTACCAATAGTACCTTGGCGATCGACTGGTAGATCGCGATCAACGTAGTGAGCACCCCTGGTCTAAGTCCTCTCACCTGTGCTGCAGGTTCCTATGAAGTTCCGCTGTCCCTTCTTCTATGAGATGTGCTGGTATGTGCTGGAGCGCTACGTCTACAGCCTCACGAAGACCTCTTACCTCACACCTGAGTTTCAGAAATACTCCCTGGGTACAGGTATGTAGACACACACAATGAATACAGCTTTCTGAAAATGTTTACAGATTATCCAGCACCAACCCAGGATTCCATGTGTCCTTGAAATCATTGAAAGTTTGTGAATATAAATAATAAGAAGTTGGATACGCCTGATTGGTTTGCTTAGCTATGTGTTTCCTGTTAGGTCAGAGAGGCTAGCAGTGGCGTAGTAGCACATACTTTGTCGTGTCCTTTCTTCTCACGGTTGAGTTGGTTTTAAAATTCAGATTGTTAAAGAAAAAATGCTGTAGTGGTCAGATGAGCCAAAAATAAAGGCCCTTTCTCAATTCATTAGAACGCGAGTACGGACTCGTGTCCTCGCCAACTATATTCTTGACAAGAACATAGGGAAGTCTGGACTCGGGGAGAACGGGAGCATGCAGCGTAAATCTGGCGTACTGATGACATCACTAGATTCAAAGTTAGGCTGGAGTTAGCCTGTTAATAATCTCTAGGTAATGATAAATTCTGACTTTTTTCATTTAGTGGGGGAATGATAATGAACACAGTCAGATAAACACAAATCAAATGAACATTTTGCCAAATTAATCAAAAAACTCGCCATCACAGTCAGCGGTCCTTCACACATGCAGAGAGATGGCTGCTGCTGACGGGCTGCTGTTAACCTTGAAGCTTTGCTGGTTGCCGCGATCATCTCAACATCAGAATATTTTCTTTAAATTATGCACTAAATGAGTAAATGGGGCATATAGTGGAGATTAAAGTATAATTTTCTCGCCTCAAATGATCTTAAAACCTACTTTTATTGAACAACAGCAACAGAGAAGAGAACTTTTAATTTGATACTCTGAGCTCTGTGAGCGATCCATTGGAAGATGCTGCTGCAGTGCATGCTGGGACAGCTGTCAGTCTGGAGAACAGACAAGTCTGCCCTGATGCATGCTGGGTAAAGAGGAAGGGGTCAGGACAACTTCCGGGGACTTAGTCCGTTCTCAGTCTGCTGTTCTAGTGCATTGGAACAGCACCAGGGCTGAGGGGGGTAACGTTTCACGAGCACACGAGAAAGCACAAGTATGCATAGTGAGAAACGGCCAAACATTCTGGATTCTGTTAGCAGTTGGAGGCTCTTTGGGTTTATCTGTGAATTGAACAGACTGGCAGATTGTGAGATTTATCACAATCAGAACAGGTTTTTGAGTTTTTACAGCACTAGTGGCTTGTTTTTTTTCGACAGTAGGCTGACAGTAAAGAGGCTATGAGAGAGGGGAAGAGACATGCAGTAAAGGATCACAGGTCGGATTAGAATCGGCGTCAGCCACGTCGAGGACTAAGGCCTCCGTACCGGGGTCGTGTGCGCTAACCACTGCGCCACCTGCTCGCCCAGGCGACTCCATCATTACCTTAGCTATAACATTAGCCTGAGAGCAGGCATAACCACCCAGGTCTGCTAGCAGCACTGTGAGCTAGATCACACTTGGCATCTACCTCATTAAAAAAAGATCTGACATACCCTGTCTGTTAATGATAGATCTAGATCTCTTTTCATTAGAAATCAGATGTTTCATAATTATGCTTTTTTAATGCAGTAACTTAATAGGTACTTGTTTAGTTGTTTCTTCTAAATGACTTTAATAATGTGTACCAAAACATTTTTTTGTTTATTCAGTCAGTTTTTAATTCATTTAAAAGAATAATATCTTGAAATATAATGATGTAGATTTCTTAAACTAGCCTTATTGTTGCTGCTTCCTCTCTCACTGAGGGCAGACATACAGATAGTTTGCTGTTTATGTTCTGGGCTGTTTTAAAATAAATAAAATGATTGATTCAGTAAAATCAGTGGGTCTCGTTTGGTTTAGCTCGTGAGCTGCAGGACGAGGGTTCTGGTAAGAACGAAGAGCCTTCAGGCGCCCAGTCTGAAAAGTCCCCATCCAAAGTCCATTTGACTCCCCTGGAGCTGGAGGGGCTGTGGAGTCTGATCGGCAAACTGGAGACGCTGCAGTCCAACAAGAAGTGTGTTCCAGCTGGAATCCAGAACGCCTCCACGCTCATGACGCACTTCAAGGTAACCTCCACCACTTCCTCTTGACCGCTCTGTTTGAACTGATGACTGATAATCTGCTTCTTTGTGTTTTTGTGCTGCAGGCTCTGCTGAAGGAGCACGCTAATGACAACCCTAAACTGGCGTACACTGGGAAACCCATCGTCAAGTGGCCGCCCAGGGTGAGCTTTCCTACAGCCAGAAACTCTGTAAAATAAGAACAATTACAGTCCAGGAACTGTTTACAGTTTTTCTTTGCCTCCTTTTGTTAGCTAGAAGCTGCTGTTGCTTCTAGCTAACAAAAAGTAAGCATCTCAAAATTAAGTCATGAGGGAAATTATTGAATTATGCTACATTCAGACCCCACGATGCTGAAGCAGCTGGTTTACATGCAAAGTGTATGGTTGACACGCAGCAAAAGGACTTGCAGCGCGTTTCTAGCAGCAGGAGCAGCGCTTCTTGAAGCAGCTGAAGCAGAGCATGATGAGCTTCTGAGCATCTGAGGCGCTGGACGTGCTGCATAAGCAGCAGCTGCTGGAGTTGGAAAAGAAAACCTGCAGCTGAAGTTAAAGATGTTTCATCATATCTGCTCCTTTCTCTGCTTCTCTAACAATTGAATCTTTCTGTTTGTAAACCAGCCCTCATGGTATCAGCCACCGCCACCTCCTCCTCCACCCCCACCGCCACCAGCCCCTCGTCCTAAACCGCCCTCAGCAACCACCGTCCAGCGTCCTCAGAAACCTGCCTCCATGTCTTCACTGAGGCGGCGCAGAGTCAGGTAACCAAGCTGACGGAAACGTTTGTGTTTGATGGTTAGAGTCGGGTCGGTTGCTTTATAGAAATTAAGGTCATCTCTGAAGATGCAGAACATTTTCGTCTGTGTTCAGGCTCCATGATGATGATGATGATGATGATGGTTGCCTTGTATTTCCCTGCAGATGTAAGCGCTGTGAGGCCTGCATTAGGCCAGAGTGTGGAGAGTGTAACTTCTGCAGAGACATGAAGAAGTTTGGAGGACCAGGGAAGCTCAAGCAGACCTGCGTGCTGCGGCAGTGCCTCTCAGTAAGCAGCAGACGGCCTTTTAGGTCCATAGAGGGAGAAATTAATCTACATTTGGTCCTCAAACCATCTACAGAAGAAGAAAAAAGCTGATTGTTCTCTACTTTACTCCATTGTTTGACCTTTTCTCTAAGAAACATGAATCCTAAAAAACAAATCGGGTAAAAATGTCTTTTCTCTGTACCTGCCTGAGAAAAAGCAGCTCATACCAGAATAGAGCACCTCTCCCCCTAGAAGCATTGATGACTGCGTCTCTGTAGATAAGCGTGGTTTAGGTGGTGATTCTGAGCATCATGTCTGGTTCCTCTCTGTCTGCATCAGCCGGGCCTTCCTCTGTCTGCTGTGTGTGAGATCTGCAAAGAGCCCAATCAGGAGGAAACTGGAGACCCTTCCCTCACCCTGATGGAGTGTTCCAGCTGTGCCCAGATCGTCCATCCCGCCTGCCTCACGGTACGTCAGGAGGTTCCTCTTTGGTTTGGAGTTAATAAGATCGTTATTTATCCCTCTGTGGGTAACCTGGAGAGGTCTGCGTTCTACGACATCATCAGGTCTCCGAAACTAAAGGCATCAGGCTAGAACTGGGTAATATATTAAAGCTACAGTGTGTAATTTTCAGCGACATCTAGCGGTCAGACTGCAGACTGCAGCAACATGAACATCCCCCCCCCCACCGCTTCTCCCCCCCAACAGTACGGTGAGCGTTACGGGACAAAATGTCTTCCACGACGTCCGCATCACGTACCCTCTCAAGTGATGAGGTTTGTTTACATAGATAATTTTACAGATAGTATTTCATTAGTCTGAGTAGGGTATAGATTTCAGTTCATCTCTCTCAACTTGCCGTAGTTACTTTCGAGCGTAATGGGCGATCTTGCAATTGCTAGTTTGTTGGCTCTGCGCTGCCGTAGCGCAAAGATGTCTGCCTCCATGGCTGCGAGAACCGCTCCTATGTAATTATAAATAACGAATTCTAAGGCAACGCAAATATTAAGGTTAAGAGGCTGAGCTCGTAGATGATGATAAATAACATAGTTATGTATAATATATTACATTTCTGACTGTATATCCCTGTAATTATTACACACTGTAGCTTTAAAGGAAAACTCCGGTCAGCAAGGAATAACCAATGAATCATTATTTACAACTAAAACTAACATGGTCACGGTGATTTTATGAATTTAGTCTTAAACAGTAAGAATATAAAAATAATCATTTTCGTCACGATCACTGAGTCCGGTGGCGGCCATTTTTACCCAAATATAGTAACACCTCACTCTTGACATCTTCCGGCAGTGACATTGCGGTGAGGTAAGCCTGGCGCCATTCTCAAACTTCTGGCCAGAGAAAAAACCCGTAATATGTAGCCAACATTTGGAAGAAGAATGTTTTCAAGATGACTTGGATAATAGCGCGTTGTGACAAACACCAGATACAGCACTGGGACTTGATCAACAGCCGATACCGCACCGTGACGTCACAAACCAGTAGGTGGCAGTAGTGTTCTTTGACAAACATGGATGCCTCCAGCAAAGAACATTCACATGAAAATTACTCTTAACTGAAACCTCACTGGTCTGATTGAATATCAAAACAAAAGGAACCAACCGAACATCAGGAACCCAGAACATGTTGATAAAGATCAAAAGGTTGCTGATTATCGTGGGGAGAATCTTCTTTAAATGCATCATAAACAAAATGTCTAATTATACATAATGAAAGAAAGATGTTCAACAATCAGACCTTAGTTATTTCTTCAGTCTTCCTGCCGTCTGTCCTCAGTCTGGGTCCAGATGCTGTCTGTTGATTTGCTGCTGATTGTTTGTTCAGGTTCAGGGTGACGGCGTGGTTAACAAAGACCTGCCCAGCTGCTGGGAGTGCCCCAAATGTGTCCAGGGCATCACTGACAGAGAGGTAAGCTAACACTAGCAGGCTGATTTAGGCTGCCCTCCCAGAGGAGCTGCCATGTTGGATCAGCCTGATGATCAAACTGCAGAGATCAGACTCCTGGACTGAAGCCTTCTTAATGATTATTTTCTCTGTTTCCTCCCACAGTCTAAAGGAGACAGAGCGGATTCACTGGTGAGTCCTCAGAAGTTACTCATCTCTAACTTTGTCCTTATTTGCTTTTTGCTTTATGATAGAATACATTTTTCAGGTAATGGAACAGCGCTAAGCAAAGTAGTAAAAGTTGCTTAGGGGAAGAAAAGTTATATCTTTATTCATTCTTAAACATTTGCATCTAATAAACTTTAGGTGTATTTAGTCCCTTCAGATCAGTAGCTGCCTGTTTTTTTTTTTTGTTTTGTTTTTTTAAATCAGTTTCATTCCTCTGACGTTTTAAAAAAAAAAAAAAAAGAGTTTTTGAGCTTTTCCCTCTGATTCTCTGTAGTTGTAGCATCAACCTCTCTTTCTATCCAGAATTAATTATTCATTAAATCAGTAGATGGACCATATAGTGACGCGTAAAGTATAATGTTCTCGCCTAAAATGATCTTAAAACGTACTTTTATTGAACAACAGCAACAGAAAATAGAACTTTTAACTTGATACTCTGAGCTCTGTGAGCGCTAACCTGGAAGCTGCTGCTGCTGCAGTGCATGCTGGGATAGCTGTCAGTCTCATATCAAATAGATGCAGTTGTTCCATTATAGGTTTGACCTCCAGCTGGTGTCTGAAGGACAAACATGTTCTTTATTCAACAGATCCAAACAACAGAATTTGCATTTGCTTTCATTAAGACTTTTAAACCAACCAAGCCTTGATGTCACTAAGACAATGGAGGAAGGTTGTCGGGGAGACGCTAGCAGTCGTCCTCACAGGGAAACTGTAGGGGTGAAAGGATAGAACCCTGAGGGACGCCACAGTAAAGCTGTTGCTCTGTTATATAAAAACCTGATGAAGCTGAAGTTTCTGAGCCTGCGTCTTTCCTCCACTCATGTCCAGAAAAGGAAATCCTCGTCTCTGCTTGACGCTCGGATCGCAAAGATCTACAGACGCCACCTCCACAGCCAGGATGGGGAGGACTCGGCCAGTGACGACGATAACTGTGGGTTTGGGTCAGAACATGAAGCTGAAGCTCCTCGTTAATCAGCTGTAGGTCATGTTGATCTTTTCTGTCTCTCCAGCGTCGCACAGAAGGAGATTGGCTCTCTCTGCTCACGGAGGCGGCCACATGTCCAGGAAGGCGTTCGGTGCCAACAGGAGAGGTCTGCTGCGGGGCGGCCTGTCCCACAAAGGGAGCAGAGGGGGGCTGGGGGCGGGTGGCTCCATGTCGGGCCTCAGACTAAAGAGGGGCGTGGCCATGAGGGAGGCGGGGCGGAGAGGCCGGGTCAGACTCCGCGGAGGCTCCAGGATGCAAAGGAGGGGCGACGACTCAGAAGAGTCGGATGACGATGAAGACGATGATGATGACGACGACGACGATGATGACGATTATGATGAAGAAGAAGGCGAGAGCGAGGAAGAAAAGGAATATCTGCGGCACAAACACAGGAGACGCAGGAGGGACTACGATGAAGACGAGGATAGCGAAGGGCAGGACTACGACCCTGAAGAAGAGGAGGTGGACACCGCTGAAGATGAAGAGCTGAAAAAGGAGGAGGATGAGGAGGAGGACGGTCGCTGGGATTCAGACCCAGAACCTCCGGTTCTCCTGGTGTCCGACCTGAACGACGAGCTGCTGAGCGGCTCCTACCTGACGGTCACCCTGCAGCAGCCTCACAGAACCAAGAGCCAGTCAGGTGAGCAGACCCTCACTCTGGGGCCGGTCCTTTTTCAGGGACCCCGGTAACAGTCTTTTATAGGGACCCAGGTAACAGTCATTTTTAGGGACCCGGGTGCCGCTTCTGGTCTGGGACCCTGTTTTTTTCTTTTTACTCTGCACCACTCAGCATGAATCCAACATGACTGTCAGGATTTGTTTTTTCTGTAGTTCTGATCCGGATGAATATCTGGCGAAAGCTCCGCCAGTAAAGTAACACATTAAGCTTAATAAACATCATTAATGATGACCACGGGTCGATGGACCGACTATAGCTCACCTGTGGACCGCTGCTTTACAGTGTTAGCTCCCCGTGGCTAAGCCAGCTGCTTCCTGGACAGCCTCAGCTCTCCTCACAGGTCAGCGAGGCGCTGCTGTTCAGGCAGCTGAACTCATGAGGATAAATCATTGGAAACAAAAACCTGCTTTAGAACAGAAACAGGAGAATTAATGAAGAACAGAAGCTCCATCATGAAAACCCTTTAATGATCAAAGTCTCTCTGAGCTGGATGATCTGAGCAGCTTGAGCCCAGCAGGCCACGCCCACAGACAAGGAGCTTCAGCATCGTCTGTGTTGTTGCTGAAAAGCTTGATTTGGAACAAACCAGCTGAACCAAGCAGACCTGAATTAAATCCGATCCATGAGCCACAACCTGGGATCGGATCAGAACATCCTCATCATCCTGCATTAGTTTCAGGAATCCGATCTCCTCCATGGCCTCATTGTCTGGTCAATAAGCTTCAGACGCCTTTAACTGGACCTCTGCTTTATTCTTCAGCTTGTTCAGAAATCTGTCATGTTTAGACCCGAACCCTGGAGGTTCCTCTGACCCGTGAGCTTCCTGTCTGCTCTGTTCAGGCTCCATCGTGCCGAAGCTGGAGGCCGCCATGGGGCTGAGGTCAGCAGCAGGGGGAGGCGGTCAGCAGGGCTTCATCCAGAGGAAGGCGGCTCATTCCAAACCTTCCAGAGTCCGAGGTGCTGATTCTGCCGACACCTTCACCCCCAGAGGACCCGGCAGGTAGAGCTCACCTTCTCTGCATCACTGGGGGTTTAAATCATATTTAAATGTCGAATCATTCTGGCTTAAACATTTATATAAATGTTCACTTTATCAGACCATATTTTCCCAAACTTTAGAAATAAAAATAAAATATAAAAAAAATAAAATAAAAAATCCTGTCTTAAAATCTGTATGTTTTTCGTTATGCAGGCCAGTTAGTTATAGCTACAGTCTGAACACCTAAATTCGGCCAATCATATACCGGTCATCTGTCAATCAATTGGTTTCGGTCATAGCATCTTGATTCATATGTCGCAGCTAATATACGCAACGGTTGAAATCAGAGTCCTTTCCTTTCCCATTGAGTTCCTTCCAGTGTTCACGGGGATGGACGTCTGTGTCTTCAGCAGGCGTAGAGCTAACAGAACTGGCAGCGTTGCGAGGCAAGGGCTCAAACATGTACGGCTGGAAGCCTTCTACACCAAACCAAGCTTCTGCCGCCCTGGCGTCCTCTTCCACAACATCTTCGTCCCGCTTTCCTCCTCTAAATAAAAAATGGATGACGGAGGAGACTCATCCACGACCTCCGACACTAAACTCTCCTCCTCTTGCATGTTTCCTCTGTCCATAGCGTTCCTTTACAGCGTCGTTTCTAAGTCACCAATTTAGTGCTACTTGGTCCCAATGGAATTTCCCATTGGGAACCTGCTAGCACTAAGTTGCTAACTGGTTAGCATAATGCTTCAGAGACACCGGCCACAACCAAACTTGCATAGGAACCTTCTGCCACAATAATCCAGCCCCTTTGATAATCGACCAATCACATTCACTTTATTCACTCGCGTAAAGTCGGGCACCACTCGGGAGAATTCAGAAATGCAACGGTTGGAACGGCCGCTTCCCTAACGACTTTAAGCTTCCTCTTCCTTCAGTTTGCTTGATGATGATCAGCAAATATTTAGGCGGCAAAGTAGAAACATTCTCAGTCCTGAAGGTCCTCAGAGATTTATAGGGATATTAAAGGTGAGTTGGGTCCCTTGGATGAACCATCAGTTATGCAGCTGCATGTTTGAGATCCTGAAAGGTTGAATTGTGTTAAAATCTAAAACATTTGTTGTGTCGTGATGAATTTTCCTTTGTTTCTCCTCTCAGGCCTCGTCTGCGAGGAAGTCAGGGAGAAAAAAGCAGCAGAACGTACTCTGCCTCTTCCTCTGAGGAAGACCAGGCTGCTGCTCCTGCTCCGTCCTCTCTGCTGTCTCTGCCGTCCTTTAAGGACGCAGGCAGCGATCGGGGCGGGGAGAAGGAGATCTGGGTGTCTGTGTTCAGATACCTGAACAGAGCGGAGCTGCTGGCCTGTATGACCGTCTGTAAAGCCTGGTATAAATGGTACGTCTCTCCTCTCTGGTTTGGATGCTGAGCTGGGAGCTTCCCTCTAAACCACCTCCTCCTGTCCGTCTGTGTAGGAGCTGTGACAAACGCCTGTGGAGTCACATCGATGTGAGTCGGTGCAACCCGCTCAGTAACCAGGCGCTGGCGGGCATCATCAAACGCCATCCCACCTCTCTGGACCTGTCCTGGACGCCGCTGGCCATGAGGCAGCTGAACTGCCTTCTCACCAGACTCCCAGGTACAGACCACCACCAACCCTCCTCCCCCGTCCACCAGAACGCCGTCTCACTGCAGCTCCGGATGTTTCTGTAGGTCTGAGGGAGCTGAGGCTGACCGGTCTGCCCTGGTCCTGTCTGTCAGCGCTGGTCTCCCCCACCCTGCCCCAGTTACAGCTGCTGGATCTACGCTGGTGTGAAGGCATCAGAGAGGCCCAGATTAAAGAGATCGTCACTCCTCCAGGTCAGCGGATGACGCCGTCAGACCCTCCCAGAGTGGCATTCATTCTTCTCTGGGCTTTAGAACCATAGAAATCAGAGGTTCTGTTTCTGAAAGGACAGTCGCTTCAATAAGAAGGGCTTTAATATTCAATATATTTCAGGTGTTCTTTAATGGATTAATGATCAGTGGATCATTATTTATACCTAAAACTAAGACGTTTGCGGTGATTTAATGAATTTAGTGCTAATCAGTAAAAAAATAAAAGTAGTAATTTTCGTTGCGATCACTGAGTCTGGGAGCGGCCATTTTTCCCCAAATATAGTAACCCCTCCCTCCTGCCATCTTCCAGCAGTGACGTCACGGTGCGGTAAGCCTAGCGCCATTCTCCCCGCTTTACAAGCTAAATCAATGGGAACTACTAGACACATCTGCAATCAACAACAATTATTGAAGATTTCCAGAGGACTTCACCATTGAAAATCACCAGAGCTATAGTGAAACTGACAATGCCCACGTGCATGGCAGCTGCATGTTGGAATACATCGGGTAAAAGTGAAAAAATAAGGAGTTATTCACCTTTCCTGTTCCTGATCCTCCACGGACGGGTTCATCGTTGGATTGCCAACTTGAAGAGGAAGGATTCGCCATCGAACTTCTGGCCAGATTAAAAACACGTAATATGTAGCCAACATTTGGAAGAAGAATGTTTTCAAGATGACTTGGATAATAGCGCGTTGTGACAAACACCAGATACAGCACTGGGACTTGATCAACAGCCGATACCGCACCGTGACGTCACAAACCAGTAGGTGGCAGTAGTGTTCTTTGACAAACATGGATGCCTCCAGTAAAGCACATTCACATGAAAATTACTCTGAATTAAAAACAAATTTCATATTTAAAGAACTTTCAGAGGTTTGAATTCTGAATATGAGCGGAAAATAGGACCAATTGATAACGACGTGTGACTTTTTCCACTACAATGTTTTTGGGATGCAAAAATATCACTCTTTTGAACACATAATGTTTTGGGAAGAGAAACGTTTTATTTCGCTGGGTCTAGCAAACCTGCTGGACTACTTTCGGCTTGACCAAAGCTGGACGAGAACTCTGCTCACAGGATGCTGCCAGGGGTAAGTCGGTGTGATTGCATGACACTGGTGATGGGGATGCCATACAGATTCATGTCAAAAATCCCGAACTATCCCTTTAAGCCCAGGGTGACTGTGGTTCTTCTACAGATTCAGGTATCAGAGGCTGGTTCTGGTGGATCCATACAGAGATGCTGATCCAGACCAAATATCGGCCTCCTGAAATCTACAGCCAGTATTAGTGGCTTTTTTTCTGCTATAGTATTGGTTTATCGTTTTTTTTTTGTGTAGTGTTTCCCAGCCTTGGAGCACCATCTAGGGGTGGCACAGTGTTATTGCAGGGGTTGTGGCAGAAATGAACTAAATAAATGATACAGTTTAAGTTGTTTAATTATTAATTGATATAAATATTGAAAATGAGGAAAACATTGGTTTGTACGTGTCTTTTAGATAATTGTTCCATTATTAACGATACAATGGAAACAAATCTGATCAAATAAAGTTGCTCAGCTCATCCTAAACCATTCATTAAAAAAAAAATATTTAGGAGAATAAAAATTGTAAAGAAAGTGTTTAGAGCTATTTTTATGGCCCAAATTTATGTCTTTACAATTAAAATAAGGAAGCAGAATTTCATTCTCTTATTTCAAGTGTATATTATCGAATTATATTATTTTAAGAGTAAAAATGCTAATTCCATTAGCAAATTATCTCATTTATTTACTCAAATTGAGGGTAAAGACACTTAATTTAAGAAATGTTTTACTTATTTCTAGATCATTTATCAGTGTACCTGGTCCATCCTTTTTGTTAAAAATAATAAAGCCATTAGTTTCTGGGATCGCTGGGATGCTGACTGAAGAGATGAGGCACTAGGATTAACTTCACCAGTCTGGAGCAGGCTAGTTGCACGAAAAATATCACCATGGTGACATGTATTATTGCTTTGGTGAAGCAGAATCAAGGCTTAATTGACCCATGATATCCAGAAAATCCTGTCTTAAAAATCCTTTGAGCAGAACTATTATAATCACAATAAAACTGATCTTTATTTGGTAAATTAAGTTACATTAATCGGTTTATGGATGTTTTTAGTTAACCTGCCTGTTAGATTATTACACTCAGAGCCTGGAGGAGTCCACCACTACAAGATGCAAACAAGTTCTGGAAATGCTGAGATTATCTGGATTAACTCAGGGATGGCTGTTAAATTAATAATTTGTCTTGTAATAGTTTGTGTGAATATTTTATGTAGATCCTGTTTTCGTCTCCCTCTGCTAATGGTGATGGTAATGAAACAAATGTGTAACGTGGAGATGAGTCCAGCACTGATCCACTGCTGTGCTCTGAATCCGTGTCTGCAGGTTTGGAGTCGTCGCGCAGCAGGCTGAGGAACATGGTGACGCTGCGTCTGTCCGGCCTGGACATCAGCGAGTCCACCCTCAGGCTGTTGCAGCGCCACATGCCCCATCTGCAGACTCTGGACCTGGCTCACTGCAAGAACATAACGGATTCCTGTATCACGCTGCTGGCAGCCGCTGGGACTCACACCCGCAACAACCTCAGCGAGCTGACTCTGGCTGGTGGGTGTCTGAGCACCGGAGATCTGAAATAAGAGGAAACGCGTCTTTCTGATGCCTGACTGTTTGTGTTTGGACAGGTTGTAACCAGCTGAGCGACGGCTGCCTGTCCTACCTGAAGAGGTTCTCCTCTCTGACTCTGCTGGACCTCAGAGGCTGTAAGGGTGTCAGCAGACGGGCCTGCGACGCCTTCATCTCTGACCTGTCCCATGTTGCCCTCTTCTGTATGATGGAGGAGAAGCTCATCCAACGCCTGGACTGAACGCAGAGAATCATCATTTGATGACAGTGGAGCGGTCAGACCGGACTGCGGCCCACATAATACAGGACTTTTATCTTAGTGATTTCATTTAACAGCCCGTCTGTTTTTTTGGTGTTTTCTTTGTAAATAGAAGATCTTTGTAAGCAGATGTTGTTTGGCTCCATCTGAGCAGAGTATCAATAAAAGATAATTCCTCTGTTCTGTATTTCCTTTAATGGTACATTATAGCAGCAGAAGCAGATCTAGAAGCATTGGGCCTCATGCATCATACATTTTCATAAATTTCTCTCATCTTTTCTGCTACTTTGGGATTTTATGAATGCAATATATCTGATTCAACAAACATTCTTAACTTCACTAAATGATCTTCATAAACCAGATGCAGTCCATCTGTGTGTAAGTCAGCGCGCATCCAGAGAAATATAAATCTGCATAATTATTGCCCCAATACTACCACGTAAGGCACATATCTGTGGGAGGGATACGACTTCCCCTCACTGTCAGGTGCTCTCTCTGCTGATTGAGAGCTGAGCAGCAGCACTGAAGGACCAGGAAAAACCGGATGGTGAGGAATAAATGACAGGAGCTGGAAATGATGTGGCTGCACTGTTACAGACATGAAAATAAAAATCATGAAAACTTATTAAAAGTTACTGAGGGAGGCCAGATGTGCAACATATGATGTAAATGTTTAATCAGTTTTACCATCAACCATCATGACAACATTCTGCTAAATCTTTTAACACAGAACACCTGTGCTGTACATCTCCAGAACACGTATGTCATCCCTTCATCTCCTGCAGAAACGCATCAAATGTTGACAGTCAAAAATTATTCTAACAAAGTCAGAAACCCAATTATAGTAATCAGAGGTCAGATGCACATGACCTGATCTGATGAGGACAGGTATTTAAAATGACCAGCAGGTGGCGCCCTGCGTCAATGGCACCATCAATCATCCACATTATTCCACCACCTTGTCCTTCATAGCCAATAAATGGCACATTTAGGAATCGGGAAGTTAAGTTAGGAACTTTATGTGTGGAAATAATTTTTCTGCCAGTTTAGACATATCTGGGAAAACAGCCAATATAAACCAATGAGGTCATCCCTGCATTTCCGTCCTCTGACCTAAAAAGTTTGACCTGGTTGAAGCTTTGACATGAGATTCTATTCTACTGTGAATAAATACTGATATTTAAGCACATTTATAGAAAAACCTACAGTTTTCTATTATTAAATTATTCCATCCATCCAATTTTTCCTATTTAGTCCTTGTCAGGATGACAGCTGGGGTGGTAGTCTATGGGGGAGAGGGGGGTTACAAACTGGACAGGTAGCAGTCCATCGCAGGGCAACACAGAGACACATTTGAAAAGAAAGAAATTTCTAAATCTCACAGAAAATGTTGGAAAAACTAAAATCTTTGAAAAAGGATTCTTATCAATTCTTTATCTTTTTTATATCAAGTCATTTTTATTAAAGTTTCATTTCTGTATTGCATTTTTTTAAATGTATTATTATTCATACAGAACATGTTTTGTGCAGCAACAAAAAAAAAACTCAAAATGCAATCCTCTACGTTCCTTTTTAATGCCTGCAGAAACACAGAGCCTGGTTGATTTCTTCCTATTAAAGGGGAGTTTTCTTCTCCACTGTCACCACATGCTTGGTGTCAGATAGAACAGAAGTCAATTCCTTGATGACAACAGTTTCCTTAGAAACCAAACTAACCTGGAAGTTATTGAAGTAACTCTGTGCAGTGGCTAGAGGCGACAGAAATGGTGAATCGGAGCAGTTTATAAAATAAACCATGATCATATGTTAAAAACTGATCAACCTTAAAAACAAGCATAAACCTGGTTAGTTACAGTTGTTCTATGGTTATAAACCATCATGGTTTTGTTTTAAAGCATTTTTTTCCTAATATGAGATTTTTCTTTACATACAGAGTAAATATACCCAAAGTGAGCAGATCAGAGCTTTAGCAATAAACAGACCTGCTGATCATGTTATGGATTCAATTTAAATCAGTTTATTTCTATTGCGCCAATTCACAACACATTTCATCTCAAGGAAATTTACAGAAACAATCCAACCAGATCATCCAGTCAGATTGGTTAGAGGTTTTCTATCTGAGGACAACAGCTGATTCATACTTGATGGCAGCTAGTCAGACCTCACAGAGAGACATTCATATTCATGGGGTTTTCTTTCACATCCATCCATCCCCTGCAATCAAACCTGTGATACCAACAATCAACATTTTCCACACAGAACGTTGATAGTTCCCTTTATTTTTATTACAAACACAGAAACTAAAGAACAATGTGTGAACAGTCTGCTGAACGCCGGGTCTCTGCTGTCTAGTAGCTCTTGGTCGCCTCATACTGGTCGGGGAAAGGCAGGCTGATGTGTCCGCTTCCAGCAACCAGGGGGAGGATTCCAGCGTTGGGCACGACGTTCCAGGATAGAGTCAGAGTGACGTTTTTATTGGACCTGAACGCAGCACAGACACCACAGTCAGCCAATCCCATTCAGGAACATGAGGGTTAAACATCAGAAGCAGATCAGGCTAAATAAGCTGCTCTGGTGAACAGACCTGCAGGGAAAAGGATCGAAAATAAAAACCAGCGGGATGTTTCTGACCTGAGTCCGTTTCCGTCATCGAAGAAGAAGTATTTGGACTTCATGTCTCTGAGGTTCAGTTTGGTGTTTTCCCCTCGGAGAACGATCCTGTCCCACAGCACCACCTGGTTCAGAGACTAAAACACAAAGATTGAAACGTTTCCTCGTCAAGTCACTGATAAACGACCTGCTGCTGTTCAGCAGTCAGATCAGCGCTGATCCAGCCACACAGGCTCAAAGCTCAGCGCCGTCCTTTACTTACGTTGCTCTTTGTGGCGTATTCAGCAGACAGGTAGAGGAACAGCTGTTTGACGTTCCAGTCGAAAATCGGCTCCAAATGTGGGAAAGGTTAAGGAGCAATAAAAGCATGTTTACCTCCATAAATGAACACGTGTTTAATAACCTTTATTTCATTTACAGGAATGACTGACAGCAGAACTAAGCTAAGATTCATCAAAACACATCATAGAAAACCGTTATAACCTGTTCAATCTACTTCATGAGATTTAAACCCTGTTCCTTCAACAACATCAAGCATAAAGTGATATTTTACTGGATTCATTCATCTCTGATTAATGATGTCTGTGCTGAAGGCATCTAATCACTCTATGGCTACGTTCAAACTGCAGGCCTTTATGCTCAATTCCCATTTTTTTGTGAAATCCAATTTTTTTTGCGTTGCCGTTCACATTTTCAAATACATGCAACTTGTATGTGATATTCTGTGTGAACTGCATTCATATAACTTAAGTGTCCTGCTTGCGCAGTAGAGGAAGCAATGATGTCACAGGCCAGCGTGCTTTGTGTTTAGGAAGGTAAACATGGATGGTAGAGCTGGAGAACAACTAGTGATCTTTCCCAACCTTAAAAACTTAATCTTTTCAAGAGGATTAAACATAAAAACTGCACTCTGCATCATCGTCCACCATGGTTGTTGTTTTGCTTGCAGCTTCTTCGTAGCAAGACCCAGAGTAGTGACGTTTGTTGGGTATTAATGGCGTTTAGTTGGCTGTTCACACACAGGTCGCATTTAAAAAGATCAGATTCGTATCGGATTCAGGACCACAGAGCCAGGAGGCCTGGGTCGCATTGGAAAAAATTGGATCTGTGCTGTTAAGACTTAAATGAAAAGATCAGATCCAGGTGGCATATTGGCAAAAAAATCAGATTTGGGTGACTTCAGGCTGCTGTGTGAACGTAGCCTATGATACTAAATGCTGAGTCAGTTTTTAGATGTTTCCTTTGTGAAAAGCTCCGTTAGAAAGTGAACAAAACCTGAACTATTTGATGGTTGAAGTGATTCAGCCTCAGTCTGGAGGTAAACTCATCTGTATTGGATGGATGGAAGGAAAGTTCTCCTCCCCACCAAAGCAGAGGGATGATGCTCTGCAGACGATGTGATCGATCCATGGAGATCTGAACATTTTAACATCAACTCTGACCGTTTATCTTCAGCATGACAACCAAAGGCAGCACAGAGAAAAAATTATCTCTGTAACATATGAGGGATCTGTGGCTACAATATCATTAGATAAATTAATAACTGATTAATTGATTCAATAATGACTGGTGAAAAGAGTGATGTTAAAATATCCCTATGATCACATGGAGTAACTGGAGGGATTAATTGGATATTTCTATGTTGAACTTATTCACCCTTCTGAATGATTCCACTTTCTGAAACGAGGCCCAGGAAGCAGCTGCCTAAACCGCGCTGCGTCTGCACTGTAAACAAACGCCCACATTCTCTCATGACGGAGGGCAGACAGTAAAGAGCAGCTGTTTCTTTAAGCAGCTAATCTGCTCAGAGCAGCAGCCTGTCTGTTAAGCTAAGATCTAGGTAATGAATATCTGTGTTTAAACTCCAGAGGTCTGGCCTTTATTCAGCCTTTAGAAGTGATGAGATGCGATGACATCATGAAAAGGGCGGGACCCAGAGCAGAGATCCCAATACTGAAGACGATTCTAGATCAGCTATCAAATAAAATGGTCCTGATCTGTAGGGGCAGATCTATCCGTTGTAGTTCTATAATAGATGTATCCCCTTCATGGGCATAGATCATTGATTCAATAAATCCAGTCAGTTTAAACCCAGTATAATGTACCCCATTAACACCATCTACTGTGACCTCTGACCTTATGACCTATGGCTTCATTTTCTGACCTCTCACTGATCTAGAGCCATTTTCTAGGACAGACGTGTGTTTGTTTACTGCTTATAGAGAGGAGATGATGACAGCCAGCAGAGCTCTGGTATCTGAGAAGAATCCGGTGTTCTCTCTGCAGCGCCTGGACAGAGCTCTACTAACATCTCCACGGTGCAGGGAAAGGATATCAGCGGAGATGTCGAAGGTGAGGAACCCCAGGTCGCTTCGTTCTCTGGGTCCTGTGAAGTCATCCACATTCTTCCTGTAAAGAGAAGATGATCACTGAGGGAAAGTGGAGCTTATTTTAGTTCACAAAATCAAATCTGGAGCCGGACGTCATCCAAACACTCAGTTTCTAAAAAGAAACATTTTCAGGTTACTGACGTCTTACGCATGCGTATTGATTATGGGTATGCTGGTCTGACAGAGCAGCTCCTGGACCTGAATGTCCAGCGTGGGTCTAGATGCTTTGACGCAGCAGAGATGGAAAGAAGAAGCTTTTTTGGAGACAAAGAAGAAGCAGCAAACCTGCAGTGAAGGAAATAAACCAAGCAGGGCAACAAACTTTGCTTCAGCAGGCAGTTTTCCATCTGTTTGGGTTAGATATTAGTAATGCTCAGGTGGGCACTGGAAAATCATCCCCACAGCATGATGCAGCCACTTCCATACAGGTAGGGTCCAGATGGTTGTGGAAATGGTGAATAAATGTGCTTAAAGCAGCAGGTAAATTTGGATTTTTTAAATTCTTTCTATGAAACAAAGTTTTCAATCTAGAGAAAAAAGAATCGCCCAGATCCTCCCAGGTCTCTGACAGCAGAGGACCATCAGGTGGACGGAGCGCTGAGCCTCGATCTCTGAAGCAGCTGGGAAGCATCAGCAGGCGGCAGAACAGGAAGGAAGCAGCCAGAAACAGCAGCTATTAATCAAACTCTTACAGCATCACTTTGGAGACGTGGATGTCCACAGGAACCCTTCTGTCTTTGAAGGCTGTGGTGACGAAGCAGCCGAAGGTCAGAGCCGCCATGACGCTCAGGGAGAAGGCGAACAGCGAGTTCGCTCTGGACAGAACCGTGTTCATCTTTCAGCAGGCAGCAGGAGCTCATAGGAGGCAATAATGGAGACCAGCCGGAACAGGAAGTGCTCCCCGGAAATGCTCCGCCACTTCCGATTTACAGAGACCGTCGTGTTAAAAACAAAATAAGATTTAATCCAATCATCGGTTCCGTTCAGACTGTATGTGGTGTTACTTTACTGGTGCATAATGTTTGGGGTTAACTGGTTGAACTGGTTTCATCGCATGTTCTCTGTAGATGTTCAGATGTAGAGATGAATAAGCGCTCAGTCCTTCTTCCCTTCCAAACCGTGGGGGAACCATTCTGATGAGTCACTACCGCCCCCTGCTGACTGGCGAAACTACTACAGTTTCCCATCAACAATAAATAAATCAGGTTCACCAAAGTTAATTTATTGTTTTACTCTCTCTGACGGCATTGAGGCAAACCTCTGTAGATTGTGGCTCTAGATGCACCACAAACTTTAATCAGTTCAATTTAGTCTTTTTAATAATACCTATTTTATAATATCCAGATCTAACACAACTGAGAAAATATTACTATAATTACTCTATGTAATACAATAAGTTATTGGTATAAATCAATATTAAACTACATGCTAACTCATGGCAGCATATTTTTTATTATTATTTTATTCTATTTATTTATTTTTAAGACAGTATAATCAGATCTTATCAAACATCTTTCAGATACTTTTACATAGTTATAAAATGTATTTATTTTTTAAATTAAAGATTTGAAACTTGCCATAAAATGTTGTAAACACCAGTGTGTATTTCTGTAGTTTGTTAAGAATCACTTAGTTTCTTTTATTTGTGTGTTATTGATCAGTATATAGAAATGTTCACTATAATAAGCAATCATCTTTAATTGTGTCACTCATCAGCTGTTCGATGTGTATACATTATATTATTGGTTAAATGGCATTTAAGTGACTTATAGTTATGGACAGTGACTTGGTTCAGTTCTGTTTGTTTACATTGTGTCAATTCAAACCCTAATATTTTTAAGGCTTTTTAAAATCAAATCATTTTAGACTGTATTTATAAAGCACACTATCATGCCACTGGTAACACTAAGTGCTTTACATTGTTGGCTAATTTAAACAAATGCATGTCTACTTTGTAAGGCGCTTTGGATAAAAGCATCTGCTAAATGCATAAGCATTAAATAAAAGCCTTTGCAAACCCTAGTACATGACACAGGACAGATACCTACAGTCACAGAAGCACAACTACATAACACTCTTTCCCTTCTACATATGACATCTGACCCCCATCTGCTGTCTCTTAACTAAAATCCTAAAAATGAACAATCAGGATTGATGCAGCTGTAAGGAAGCAATATCTTGCATATTTTACACCAGGAAACCCACCCATAAATAAATTTAAATGGAATAATAAATAGCATAAGATAAAAGTGCATAAAATAAAAAGCTAGGCTAAAAAGATAGGCCTTATTAACATCAAGAGTCTCGGCCGGCCTGAGGCTCTACTTGATCCATCACAAATCTACTTGAATCCATCACACTGAGCATGCATGCAGCGACAGTGGGGAGGAAAACTACCTTGGTTGGTACTTGGTTCCACAGGAGAGGAGCCTGATAACTAAAAGATCTGCCTCCCATTCTACTTTTAGAAGTTCTAGGAACCACTAGTAAACCTGCAGATTGAGAGCGAAGTGCTCTGTTAGGAACATAAGGAACAATCAGATCTCTGATATCAGATGGAGCTTGGCCATTTAAGGCTTTATATGTGAGAAGGAGGATTTTAAATTCTATTCTGGATTTAACAGGAAGCCAATGAAGAGAAGCCAGGATAGGCGAGATATGATCTCTCTTTTTAATTTCCATCAGAACTCTGGCTGCAGCATTTTGGATCAGCTGAAGGCTTTTAACTACAGTTGGATTAGATCACATCTGCTGGAGGTTAATGCAAACAGCTGGTCAGTTTTTAGTGACTAAAATTGAATTCTGATATTCACATGTTATATTTTACTATAATATAATATAATATAATATAATATAATATAATATAATATAATATAATATAATATAATATAATATAATATAATATAATATAATATAATATAATATAATATAATATAATATAATATAATATAATTATAATTTTAATGTACCATTAAAACCAAATCCTTCTTGTTTCCTCTACTGTTATTTCCTGATTCTGCAAAAACTATCAAATAATGTCAGCCAATCAGAGTGATCTTCGGGTCTGGCTCCTCCCCTCGCTCTGACTCATGTTGTCCTGTTTTGACTGCAGCACGTGAGCCTCCGCCGCGGTACATGGAGTCCCTGCAGGATCAGCTGGAGAAGGGATGTCCAGGAAACGAGCAGCGGAGCCGGAGTCTGGATCCAGTGACTCCCCGGAGAGGAAGCGGACCTGCTGGGGGGTTCTGATCAGCCAAGGTAGGTTCGCTGCATGGGGACAGGATGGCCTGAAAACAGGAAGAATGAAAGAACAGCTCAGACTGGGAGCAGTTCAGTGTTTGACATTTAATCCTGCGCAGCTTCTCACCGTATTATGGCCCAGAGAGATCTAATGGCGCAAGCCTAAAATATCCTGCAGCTGATCTACAGACAGTATGGTAGCAGGACTGCAGAAACTCTAACTGCTTTTCATAAAATAATAAAATAGTAATTAGAGCCTGTTAGTGATTGGATTAAGCTTTTATTTTTTCCAAACATTAATTTTTTTTAGTAGATTTGAAGGAGAAATGTCCTTAATTTTAAGTGAAGGCAAGACTTGGGACCTTAGATGCCAATTGAAGGAGTTTAATGTGTCAGTTTGTTAATATTTAACTGTAACATTAAACAAGAAACACATGCAGAGAGCTGTCAATCTCAGTTTCATTTATGTATTAACTTAACTAGATTATAGAAAAATATCACACTGTTGTAGGTCAGAATAATGATATGATTGACCTTTTAATAACAGAGTCAGCACTAACATTCACCAAAACAGGGTGTATAGTTGGGCTGCAGCTGCTGAGTATTTTAATAACCAATTATCTGCCAAAGTAATTGAATCATTGAATCAAATAATCTGACAATTATCCTTTTCTTTAAAGATCATGTGATCAAAATGTAATGCAGTGGAATTATTTTTGCTTTGGTTGTAATAGCGTTTATTTGCTGTAAATTGTCATAAGTGCTGCTGTTTAAACTCTCCTTACTGTTGCTATCAGTACATTTTAAATGCAGGGCAGCCATATATGGCTTTGATACCGTAGTTAGTAAGAAAATATTCTGCTTTCTAATCCTACTGTTTTGATACTTTAAGATGTTTATTTCCCTCCCCGGTAGGGCTGGCAAATACCTTTATTTAATCAGATATTATTTCGGCTGTTATATACTGTTTATGAACATACAGCCCTACCAACTGTGTGTTAGAACACTAGATGAAAGAGTGATTGGAGCACTAATCATGGTCAAACAGTTAATTCTGCACATACACGGAATAAATTCACCACAACTTCTGTTCAAAATATAAGAGTTTATTAACAAAAATCATTCAGCTCCAAGTCAAACGTATTTCAGTTTAGAACTCTTAACTAGGACTAGTAAAACTAAACTAAACTAAACTACTATGTGCAAAGAGGAAGGGAAGCACGGTTGAAAACCATATTATAGTTTACACTTTACATATTGATTTCTCTGACTTTGAAGGTTGACATTTTTCTAGCAGTATACAGCACATAACCAAAATGCATCACTTAACCAAACATCGGATGCTACAATATAGGAGCCCACCTCTTTTGAATTGGAGGTTTTATTTGTCTAAATCATTGGTTTATGTTAGGGGATTTATTTAAGTGCTTTTTGAACATTATCAATAGGTCTGCCAATAAAAGTACTAAAACCCTCATTTACTTAAAACCAAGATGTTTCCCCATCTTCCCTCTTTTTCTATATGAGCATGTATTAACAGCAGCTTGATTTATATGTGTTTTTGGAGACTACATGGAGGTAAATGTTAAGCAGAAGCTGACTGATGTGGTCAATGTTAACATGTAATGATGACTGCTGTTCCATTCTGACTAACTAGCCTGAACAAGCACACTGTTGAAATATGAGTAAAGGAGATATATAAACTTTTAAAAATGAAGAATAATGCTGTGTTTTCTAATGCAGGTTCCTGGGCAGATCGCTCTCCACTTCATGACGCAGCCTCTCAGGGTCGCCTCCTGGTCCTACGCAGGCTGCTGGCTGAGGTAGGATGTTCATAAATTTCTAATTTATAATGATTTTTTTTTAATATATATAAAACAAAATAAAATAGTGTATGTTAAAATAATTTACTTAGTTCAAAATGTCTTTAACCTGTTCGGCTCAGAACTGGTGGACCCAGTATTCATGGAGTGGAGAAATGGAGTGGGCGGTGTCAGTGTCTACAGCGGGAACCTCTGGTCTTAATGTCCAGTTCTGGTCCAGGAGTAGAGGTAGAGCCCTGCTGGCGGGCCGCCAACCCAGTGAGGCGGTTGTCAAACAGAGAATCCCACATGCAGGACTGGAGTATCGGAGGACAGTGATGTGCAAAATAATATCCTGCAGATAATGAATAAATGATTAACTAGAACTGGAGTTATAGCTAATTATCGAAAGGTAAAATCAATTTAGTGTTCTTAATTGGATAATTGTAGCTTTAAATTATCTACTTACCGGGGTGGCGGATGCACCTCTGGAGGGTTCCTGGACCGGCTGTTAAAATCCAGGTCTCCACCAATCTAGTGACCCAGGTTAAGTGGCCAGCAGAGCTATTAATTATCAATAAAGAACCTTTTATCTCTGTTTATTCGCACTATTACCAAAAAGGGGGGTGGATCTGACCTGAGTGATAAATCCTCCGCTATATGAAAGACCATAACCACTACAAGTTAACCAAAGTCTTTATTCTAATAATTTAGGATTACAGAAAATCTAACATCTATGCAAACACTACACGCTACTAGAAAAATAAACACGAGGTAGATTAAATGACTAGTTTAAAGAAATCGAAAATAAAGAATAAAACAAAATAGAAAACAAAAGAATAAAACCATAAGAGTCCGTTTACTGGCTTCTGAGATCATTCAAATATGCCAGATATGAATACATTCTCTAATGTCCGTTAGCAGCAGGTATGATGATAACAGTGCAATTAATCATAAAATTAATACATCCAGCTTAAAAATTGGTAAATGATAAAAAGCAGAAGTCGTTTAGCAAAACACATTAACAAACAGTGTACCTGTGTGTGAGAAGGGCATGTAATTAAATGAGGGACTCCCCCTTTTCCACGTGGTGAGAGGAACAAAGAAAAAATGTGGGGGGGTTGGCAGTCTGTAATCAAGATGGCCCCCACGTGGTTGAATGTGGCAATTCTATAATGGTCTTAAGGTAGAAACAAAAGAAGATAGGAAAGGAAAAGAAAGATGGGAAAGAAATATCACTTGCAGTTTCACAGCACACTTACTTCAACCAAATGAACCAACTCTTATAACCAGCACAGTTTAAAAATCAGCATTAATTCAAATCCCTGAATCTACCTGTCTATCTCGCCGAGCGCAGCACCTCATTAATGCATCGAAAAGGAAAGGAAATTGATTTACTGTTAGTTGCCTTCGGTCCATGAAGGAGTGGTGTTTCCAAGGGAACCGTGGCCTGGTTGCGGCCACGCAGAGTTTTCGGCACCGGGTCCGCCCTCGGGAAAGTTCAGTCAGTTCGGTGCTACAGCAGAGGGCTCGATGTGCTCTCAAGTCATGGAGGATGAATTTTGCGGAAATGATCGGCGAGGAGCGTCCTCCTCAGCCGGTCCGTACAAAAAGGGAAAAGACGCACTCAATCCGCTGTCAGCTTCAAAGGCTTCCGTCTCCCCAGTTGGCGCAGCCGCTATGCACGATGGAACACTGCGATCCGTGACTTTTGACGCAGGAAAAACGAAAGCTACTTCCAGTTAGCTTTCTTCTGGTATTTCACGTGAAATGAGCCTCTCCTGATGGGCTTTGAAAACCCATGGACAAAGAGGAAAAATGGAGTCCGCGCTCTGGGTTTTAAACCACGAGTGACGTGGGGGCACTTCCTGTGTGAGTATTAGCTGATTGGTCTGTGATTAAGGGGACCACCTCCCACCGTGGGTCGGTACAGTGGTCTTCTGGAAATCCTTTGTTCTTTTTTGTGGCGGGAATCCATTGTTCTTCTTAGTGGAAAAGAAAAGGGGGATGGTTTCAGATGGCTCACCCAACTGGCTTAGCTCCATTTTGGCAATATATCCCAACAACAGGCAGGCGGTCAGAATCGTGAAGACGTACATGAGCAGGATAAACAGTAAAAGACGAGGTAGGGGACATTGTACATGGTCAGAGGCAGGAGATCAGAGAGACGGTGAAGTGCAAAAGGACAATCCAGGACAGAGTCGGGTCATAGTTCCAGGTATGATTCACAGAGCAGCTGACAGGGTGGATGACGGCAGGCTGGAAACAAATCCGGTCGGTACTCAGCGGGCAGAGATAAGGCAGTTAGTCAGGTTAGGTGGAAACCAGAAGACAGGTCAGGCAATCAGAATCAGATGAGAACAGGCAGGCTCAGAAGTCGAGAGGCAGACAGGTCAGGATCAGAAACTCAGAGCTAAGAATGCTGGAATAAGTTTCACCAATGACTCGAAATAATCTGGTACTGTTGACTGGTCTGAAGGCAGGTTATATACGACTCATTCAGGTGGATCAGATGAGCGAGTAATGAGAACTGAGTGGAGTTAAGCAGGTGTGTGAAATGATCAGCCCAGGCATCAGTGCAGAGATCCTGACAAATCCATATTAAACCAATGACTTATACATAAAAAAAAAAAAAAAAAAAAAAATTGATCTTGAGTTCAGATAAACACACAGGCAGGAAATGACTAATGTAGATGTCTCAGACAAACTGATAATTGGAGAAAATTTCATTTTGATATTTGGTGGTTTGTTTGATTCAGTTGTGTCTGTTTTTCTACATTTTAATTTATGTTTTTGTCAAAGCTATATTCTATGTTGTTTCTTGCACAAGTTTATTTTTGCACATTATTGTTGCAGTTTGAGCCAAAAGGTAGATCCCACATGGCATGTTTATAAAATTCATACTAGTTCTTTTCTTTTTTTAGTAATACTAGATTATGCATACAATTAGGAGACTGTAAACACCACTGCCAGAGCTGTAATGATGTTATAGTAGATTGTGCAAATAAACTGATTGAGGCCCCCATAATCTTATTTTGTGTTGGCAATACAGAGGCTTGGCTGCCAGACCTGTTTCTGGGTGTTAAACTTGTTTGTTTTCTGCTGCATCAAAGCTGCAGTCAGCAATGATTCCCATCCTGTGTCTGCTTGCAGGGATATCATGCAAACATCAACACCATCGATCATGTGACGCCCCTCCATGAAGCTTGTCTGTCAGGACACGTAGCGTGTGTAAGAGCGTTACTAAGTGTTGGAGCTAATGTAAGTACCGTCCTACTGATGCTTGAAGTTTCACAATCAGGAATGCAATGCGGGGGTTTGACTCCACATGCTCATGCAGGTGAATGCTGCCACCATCGATGGTGTCACTCCTCTATACAACTGCTGTGCCTCAGGGAATGTGGCCTGCATGGAGCTGCTGCTGCAAAGCGGAGCGCACACCCACGCACGTCACACACACTTCCCTTCACCTTTGCATGAAGCCTGCAAGAGAGGTAAATAAAACACAGCAGGAACCAATGTGAGCTGCACTAACTTCCTTATACATGAAGAGAAGATGAAGCACATATTTTACAATAATGTGGTTAGATCAACATGCCTCATGTCCTTCAAGTGTACATTAATATATGTATATAATTGTGTGTATATATATATAAATAAATATATATATAAATATATATATATATATATATATATATATATATATATATATATATATATATATATATATATATATATATATATATATATATATATATACATATATATATATATGAATGAGTGGGAGATCGACAGGCGAATTGGTGCAGCGTCTGCCGTGAAGCGGGCGTTGTACCGGTCCGTCGTGGTGAAGAGAGAGCTGAGTCAAAAAGCGAAGCTCTGGATTTACCGGTCGATCTACGTTCCTACCCTCATCTATGGTCATGAACTCTGGGTCATGACCGAAAGAACGAGATTGCGGATACAAGCGGCCGAAATGGGTTTCCTCCGTAGGGTGGCTGGGCTCTCCCTTAGAGATAGGGTGAGAAGCTCGGTCATCCGGGAGGGACTCGGAGTAGAACCGCTGCTTCTCCACGTCGAGAGGAGCCAGTTGAGGTGGCTTGGGCATCTGTTTAGGATGCCTCCTGGACATTTCCCTAGTGAGGTGTTCCGGGCACGTCCCACCGGGGGGAGGCCCCGGGGAAGACCCAGGACACGCTGGAGAGACTATGTTTCTCGGCTGGCCTGGGAACGCCTTGGGGTTCCTCCTGAAGAGCTGGAAGAAGTGGCTGGGGAGAGGGAAGTCTGGGCCTCCCTTCTTAAGCTGCTGCCCCCGCGACCCGACCCCGGATAAGCGGAGGAAGATGGATGGATGGATGGATGGATGGATGGATGGATGGATGGATGAATATATATACATTAATTTACACTATTTTACATCGACATTCAGATGTAATGCAGATGTTAGCGTTAATTTCACCCAAGACCTTAAATTCCTTAACTCTCTCTACTGTCACAATATCTATCAGAATACGTAAATTTTCTTTATTTTCGCAGTTTCCAAACAACATAAACTTGGTTTTATCCAAATTTAATTATAGTTTGTTGATATCAAACCATATCTTAAGTCGATATAAGTCAAAGTTGACGTAAGCCATAAGCTGATCCAAATATGCTGATCACATGTATGAACGATGTTACTATCATCGGCAAACAAAACAAATGTAAGTATTAGGGGTGTAAATAATAATCGTTTTGTATCGATGCATCAGATCGTCGGCTGTTGGATCGATGCATCGATACAAAACTATATTTTTTTTCCCTCCGGTCTGTTTTTATCCATTTGCTCCTGGGCGTAATTCTTCCTCCCGTGCTGCGGTGCCGCTAAACCTGTTTTGCTTACCTCGCTTCCTGGTTATACTCCTGCAGCAGTGTGTTGCAGTAAGCTTGACACATTTTTGATTTATGCTAAAAATTGAAGCGTGGTCTGTGCTACACGCTGTGGGTCTAGATACGGTCGAGGCAGAGAGGAAGTTGGGGCGAGTTTAGTCCGACGACGGAGGGACACAAGGGCCAAAAAGAGCGGAGATCCAGGTGGAAAAAGGGTCCCAGCGTTCCCGCGCACCTCGCTCTTCTAGCGGGTCAAACTTCACGAGTTGTTTTCCGCAATTTCGGTCATAAAAACAAAACAAGCCGGCCTCCTGTCTGCGGTCAGCTACAATTTGGGAGAGGAGCAGCGGAGTGTCTGTGGAGGGGTCGGGACGTCAACACTCTGGAGCGGAGGTATTGCATTGCACTCATTGCACTGATTTTGTGCAGTATTTTTTGATGCAAAGCCTTTTAGAATCTATAACGCAGGGGCATTATTATTTTTTTTTAGTTAATGAGGTTTTAATAGGAATAGGTGGAGTAGAACTTTTCTACTTCTGTTATTTGCTGTTGTTTCTCAAAAAAACGGATAATGATATTACAGCTTTCATTGATTTATTTCAAATTTGAAAGATTGTCTTGCCTGCAAAAAAGGTAAAAAAAAACAAAAAAAAAACAAACAATTAATCGAATCGTATCGTGGTGTATTCTTGAGTATCAAAAATAATGAAATTGTTGGGTCAGAAAATCGATACTAAATTGAATCGCCATGATGGATGTGATTTACACCCCTAGTAAGTATTCTAGAAACTTTGCAGATGACAATAATATGAAGGAAAACTAATTTTGGACCCAATACTGACCCCTAGGGGACACCACAAACAATGTCCAAGCACAATGACTGGCAGTCATCCATTTGCACAAATTGTTGCCTGTTGCTTAGATAGCTTTTCATCCAGGGCAGTAGTACTCCCTGGATGTCATAACACTCCAATTTCTTAATTAATATTTTGTGATTTATTGTGTCAAAAGCTTTTTTTAGATCAACAAATACACCAACTACAGATTTCTTATTATATAAGGCGCTGGTGACTTCTATCAATTCAATGACTGATTGCTGTAGATCTTTGTGATCTAAATCCATAGTGACTTTCAAAAAGCAGTTAATGTTTATTAATGCATCTATCTAATCTATCCACAAATAATTTCTCCCAAATTTTGGAAAACTGTTAAAGTAGAGAAAAAGGCCTATAATTTGTGAAATGGTGTATGTCACTGGATTTATAAATTGGAATAACTTACCTTCTTGATTACTGTCACGTCAATGCCATCACAGTAAGTTGACCTCTTGTTATTACATTTATTGACAATATCTTTCATTTCCCTTTCTCTCACAGCAGTGAGAAACATTGAATAAAGATTTCTACTGATTAATGTTTCATTCAGAGCTCCAGTTGTTGTAGAATGCGGGATTTTTTCTACCAGTTTGGGTCCCACACTCACTAAATATTTATTGAATTTATGTACAACATCATTCATTTCCTTAAAATTATCATCGTTATTTACAAAAAACTGCAGAATTTAATTTTCCCGAGCTTTTCTAGATAAAATTAATCAATACATTCCAAATTCCTTTGATATTTTTCTTATTTCTATCTAATCATTTACTGTAATAATCCTGTTTCGCTGTTCATATTATAACAGTTAATTTATTTTTATATTATATTTATTCTCTCCCTCCAAAGACCCATGCCTTAATAAATCTCTATATAATTTGTCCTTTTTTTTTAACAGGCATTCTGTAAACCATTTGTGATCTATGGAGCTTCTGAGTATTTGTTTTTATGAGAGAACATTATTAATGGACAGTTTTTATTGTATAATACTTTAAAGATATTCAGAAAAATTATCATATGCTATATCGACATTATGTTCTTGCAAAACAGACTCCCAGTTATGTTTCAATAAGTCCTCTGTGAAAGATTTGAGGGATTCCTCTGTTCTTACTCTTAAACTGTGGATTACTTTTATCCTTATTTTTTATATAGAAATTGTTGCTAACAACAAAGACTGGAAAATGATCACTAATCACCATTAATCCACTTAACTTATTGTTGTCTAAGATAGCAGTAAATATCTTATCTACATGTGGCATTGTTAAGTGGGATTCTGCTGGGTCTAGAGATTTTGGGAAAAATGCTCTAACTGTACGTGGTATTAATGAACTCTTCAGTTTATTTAATAATATGCTGAATTTGAAAAGGAAGCACATAATTATATTGGAGCAATTTATTGAGTCCGCTGTATTTAACTATCATATCATTCATATTATATAATGCAGGAACATATTAGGTTACTGAATAATAAAGATGAATGAAATATGTGTAACACTTCAGACTTCTTTACTTTCATTAAATTACAGCATATGTTGCTATGACATACCGTCAGACTATTTAACAATGAGGTGGATGTTAACCATGATATATCTCTCTGTGGTGTGATCCAGCGTTCAGTGCTGGGAGACATTTTGTGCTGTTAAAAGCGTTTTTAAACGTTGCTTTGATTTATCTCAGAGGAATGCTAACGTACGGCTTTATGTGAGAGATGCTCTTAAACACGAGAGTTAACTAAGCTAACAGGTGTTGTTAGTTCTGACCCTTATCTGATTAAATGTATTTAATCTAGAGCAGGCATCCCCAAACTCGGTCCTCGAGGCCCGCTTGTTTAAAACAGCTGATTATAATGATTGCAGTAGAGCAAAAGTCTGTTAATTAGCTTTCAATTAAAATCAGCTGTGCTGGAGCAAGGAAACCTCTAAAACATGCAGGACAGGGGGCCTCCAGGACTGAGTTTGGGGATGCCTGATCTAGAGGGTGAATGTTTCCTGGTCTCCAGGACTTCTCAGTCTGCTGATACTGGTTGATTTGGCTACAGTGCAGTGCCGCCAGTGGCCTCCAGGGGCGCTAAACCTGGTAGTTACAGGTCTAGCGCCCCCAGATGGCCAAACATTACGCAGTGCTGCTTTTGACAGGTGCAGCCAGTGATGGAATCAATTATGTGGTTTTTACCTCTTTGGTTGTAGGACTCCACCTTTGTTTGTCTTCCCTGTTCATTACGTGGTTTCAAGCCCTCAAAGGTTTAAGGTTTTAACCTGAACCTTCCTCTGACATCAGCGCGGTACTTTGGTTCTCAGCACTGCCTCCAACTGAGTTTTCTCTCTGAGCAGTCTCTGAAGGCCCTCTCTGACTTTTCACTACATGCCTAAATGGTGAGACGCTGCAATGAGATTTGCTACTAGCATTAATGAAACACTGAACAGGTGAACTCAATAAACTGACTAGTGAGTGTTCACAGAATATATGAATGCTGTACAGTGAACAGATTTTGAATTCAATGGATCCATGCTGTGCTCATTTAAAGTGATGTTTCTAATTATTCGTATCTTTTAATTCGGTTCTTTAATTCCAGAGGGACAGTTTCTCAGAGAGTGTAGAAAGGAAAGAACCCTCTCGTTGTATTAACAGTTACATTTAACATTGTTGTTTCTAAACAAATGTCCAGAAAGTAAACAGATCATCATAGGTCACCAGGACAGAAGTCCTCTTCCAGCTAACAGGGGAAACAGTATTTTCTATGTCTGTCTGTAACATTATGATTTCATCCTGTGTGAAGGAAACAGCCAGTGTGTGGAGTCCCTTCTGTCTCATGGAGCAGATCCAGACTACCAGCTCCCCCACCTGGGCTCTCCTCTCTATGTCAGCTGTCTGCACCGACACACCGCCTGCTCCAAGATGTTGTTGGACAGAGGTGTGTAAGCCCTTTCTATCCATCCTCCTAACAGCTACATATACTCTCCCACTTCCTCTAAGCTGTGTTTGGGAGATAGTTTTATTTGAATAACATATGTGGCATTTAACTGAAACTATCTTATTTTAAATTCCCCTTTTGGATTAATAAAGTATTTTAGATTTGAATTCAGTCTTCTGTACAGGCTACAGTTATCATAGTAAACCAGTTTTCCTGCATGATGTTGGTCCTTTAAAAGACTTCATACAAACAACATCAGAATCAGGTTCAGCAACATGATAGCCAATAACTAACTTTGGTATTCTTCACTCAGTAACAGCTTTCACACTAAAGAGTGCTGCTATATTGAATAAGGTTGATTATGGGTCAGAACCAAACTGTTAACTGTCTGCTTTTGTTCACCATCTCCTGTCTTGGTACATCTGTACAAAAAATAAATAAACAAAAATCTTTTCTTTATTTCTTAGTTCAGGAACCATCATGTCACACTGTTAGAATTTAAGAGCCTAAAAACAGACTAATCCTCCTATTAACTTAAACAATGTCATCAGTTTTTGGCCCCAGGGTTTAATAAATCTTGCTGTTGTTGTGACCTTCTTTGTCTGGGTCTGACCAGGAGCCAGTGTTAATGCAGGCAGAGGAGGTGAAAGCCCTCTACATGCAGCTGCCAGACAGGACTGTGCAGATCTGGTGTCGGTTCTACTGGACCATGGAGCTGAAGCTAAGCTCAGAGACGGTAACGGACGGCGGCCTGTAGATCTAGCCCCCCCTGGTGGAGAGACGCACCAGCTCCTTGTGGCATTTGAAGGTACGCCTGCAGTGATTTTAAGCTGAATTTAACCTGGATGGTCAGATTAGAGGAACCTGCTCTGTTTGTCTCTAGGTTCCCCCCGGAGTCTCTGCCAGCTGTGTCGTCTGCGGATCAGGGATATGATGGGGCCAACCAGGATCAAGCTGCTTCCTCTGCTCCCACTTCCTTCACTTCTTACTCGATATCTGGAGCACATGTAGAGCAACACAGGCTGCATGTTAGCATCTGTATTTCTAAGTCTAGATGTAGTGAGTGGAGATAGTACTTCCTGCCAGCATGTCACCATGGATTAAACTGGATGAAGGAACCACTGTCCAACCACTGTCCCCACACTCACTTTATCCTCCCTGTAACTGGAGACTTTTTTTATTGTTTGTTGGACAGTATTTTTGCTCTGGATTATAACATCTACGATTTTTTTTTTTTTTTTTTTTGTGGTGAATGTCAGGATAGTTGTACATTTGTCCATAATAAAATGCAAATTTTATTTTATCTTAGTGACATTTTCAGCAATCAGAAGGTGTGTCTGCATTTGATGCATAAATTGAAATATTAGGAAATATTAAGTTAAATTTACTTATTTTCCCCTGATTTAAGCAGGTGAGAAAATTTGCTAATGTATTAAGTTGATTTATATTTAAAATAAAAAATGTATTTACAGTATCTGATTATATGGGTCAACATGCTCATTCCAATAGCAGAGCATCTTATTAATCTGCTCATATTAATGGCAAATACACTTAAGAATTTTAAGAATTTTCGATTTATTTTAGATCAGTGTTTGTAGAGCATCTCTCTCAGGTGATCCTGGAACGGATTAAGCTTCCCCCAGAGGAGCTGGAGGAGGCGTCTGGGGAGAAGGAGGTCAGGGCGTCTCGGCTGACCCGCTCTCCCCTAAAACGGAAGATGACTAGTTTTTGATTGGATGATATGAATCTGTTTACCGTATCACTTAGGGCAGAAGATATTCTGAATGACAGATGTTGTAAAGGTTATTTATGAGTAATGTTTTTATTAAATAAAGGTTTGCTGGCTGATTAAGCCTTATTTATGCTGATTTAAATTTATACCCTACTTAAAGCTGAAGTCTGTAAGTTTTTAAAAATCACTTTTTTGTCATATTGGCTAAAACTGTCCCTATGCCCAGACAGCAGTACATGTGATATGTAACCTGTGAAAGAAACTGCTTCAATTGGTACCGCCTACTGCCTGTATTTCAATCTGGAAAGAATAATTCGGGACGAGTCAAAACAACCAATCACAGCCAGAGGAGCGTCTGATGGAGTGTCAATCACAGCTCACACACGCTGAATCCCGCCCCCCCACCCCCCACCGCTTAACCTGCCGCTGCTGCCCGGCTGCTGCAGTCAGGAGGACGCGCGTGGAAGTCATGGCGGAGCGACAGCCACCAGCGAAAGAGAAACTGCCCTAACTGCCCCTGCCGACAACTGCTTACACGGCAAACTTCGGTATAACCAGCATCTTATATCTAGCTGCTTGGAGGTGAGTGTAATCGCTCTTACCGGTTCACACTCCATGCCGTGTTGCACGCTGCTTGGACGCTTGTGGTTGCATGCGGTAGCCGCGCAGAAGCTGTGAGAGGGGTGGAGCTTGGAGGTGGGGCATGAGTGAAGCAGAGAGGGTGGGGGAGTGGCGTGAAACCTGTTTTTCTTCAAATTTTCAGTCGAAGTCTGCTCTCTCCTCAATGTTACAGACTGCAGCTTTAACAGGGTATATACCCTGTTGAAGAACAAATCATTGTATATTGTTTATATATATAACCTGACAACAGCCAGATGCATGTCTCACTCCGCCTAGCTCCACTCACATACATCTGGGAACCTGCTGGGAACCGAATTTATGGTCTGTCCAATCAGGACGCAGGGCGGGTGTGTCCTGGAGTGGAGAAGCGCCCGTGAGATTCCAACAACAATGGCAGCTCGCATTGAGGAAGCAAGTGTTAGCATTGATGCTGCTATTTCTTCTGTGTTGTCCAATCTATCTGATATTGTTTCATTAAAAGAACATCACAAGCTACGTTTACATGCGCAAAATTTCCCCGATCCGATCCAAACCTTGGTTGATCGGAAATTCAAAATCTCCGTTTACATGGACACTAAATGAAATGATCCGATCATGACGTGTGTATACATGTACCAAGCGTTGGATCAGATTAAATCTTTTAAGCATGCGCAGAACTTCCTGCCAAACTTGGCAGTTCTGTCTGCGTCTGGTTTTTGGGAGGCCTGACAAACGATGCGCTCGGAGCGAGCGGAAAGAAAAAAGGAGAGAGGAGGAAAAAAGCGTTTGGCAGCGAAATGTCCGAGAGAAAATGTAGAGAATGAGCGATTGAACCGGCGTGGGAGGGCGAGTGGGCTGTAGAGAGGAAGAAGAGGAAGAGGAGGAGGATAAATTCCTGCTTCCTGCAGCTTTAAATTAACTTATAAGTCGGCGTTCCTAGACTCCCCCCGCCATGTTGTTCACAGCGAGAGCGAGAGCGACCGGTGGTTTCCTGTTGTTGACAAGGCGGAAAACGTCACGCTGACGTCGCACACATGCGCAGTGAAGATTATTTTACTCTTTAGATCCGAATGGGTGTTTACATGGACGCCAATCGGAATGGCGATCGGCAAAAACCACCTCTCTCTTTCGGAATTAAATTTAGATCCGATCGGACCGAATCGGATTAGAATCTTCAGTCTGACATGTTTACATGAAACATTTTTGATCTGATCAGGCCTTCAATCCGATTAGTTGTGTCCATGTAAACGTAGCTAGAGAACGGCTTTGAAGGCTTTTGTTGGTGGAAACGATGTTTTCGCCCTTCTCCCGACTGGATTTGGCAAGAGCTTGATCTACCAAATGGCTCCTCCTCTCACAGTGTCATGGGTTAGCTTCGGTGTGAGTGGTTGAAATAGCACGTCAATAAAGATGACAGACAAGTGGCTTATCCAATCATATGCAAGGAGTTTTGATAAGGCCCAGCCTTCAGTAAAGGCAATTCCTATGGCGGGTTCCCAGATGTATGTGAGTGGAGCTAGGCGGAGCGAGACATGCATCTGGCTGTTGTCAGGTTATATATGTATGCGTAGAAAAAAACCCTTCTTAAACTGACACCTTAACATGTTGAAGGGGATTCAATGCGGCTTAAATGCCCCTGGTAAGCTCTCACAAGGCAAATATAGGCTCTGGATGCCAGGTAAGAGAAAGAGAGTTTGAAAAAAGCCATTTTGAAGACTAAGAAGTCCAGGTTCGATAGCATGGAATCTGATTGTTTTTTAATTATTATAAATAATTATTAGACTTATATCATTATTTTCTCCCACACTGTTTACATTTTATCACTCCTGCACTTTATGGAAGGGAAATGTTCATTTACTGTCTGAAAAGCCTTAGAGAATGAAATTTCATCTTTCGTCTATCTTACACTCTTCTGTGAGATGGTGGATGGTTTCTAAGGCCTCTGCGTAGTCTGCACCTCTGATCTTGTCTGGTGTGGTAGATCTGGGCCTTTACTGCTCTGGTGTTCAAGGCCTTCTGTGTTGGCAAGATTCTTCAGTCCAGCCCTCTCTAGCCATTGTTGGGATTTAGTCATATCAGCCACTTCAGCTATCTGTTGGCGGTACATCCCATTGTTGTGCCATGTGCCATGATCATGGTTTTGGACATTGGGAACCAGTGTCCATGTTTCATCTTGACATGATGACCAGTGAGGAGAATGCAGTTTTGGCTCATAACAGCTGTAAGACCTCTGTAACCCTCCTTTTCAGCCAACTGCCTCCACAGGAACTCCCACAGAGGTATGACTTGCCACCCACCTCTGTGTTGAGGACAGTAAAGACCAAAACACACAGGATTTCATTCTCTCTTTCCCATGAAGCTGCCAGAGGAGCCACACCAGAAAAGGCCAACATGGAGATCCAGGCAAAATGCCCAGATCTCCAAAATGACCAAGGATAAGTCATGGTGGCTGACTCTTCAGAACCAAACTGCTGCAAAACAGACTTTTTGCAACACATTTCTTTTCATGTTCAGAACTTACAGAGCCAGACTGGAGAACTGGTGGCTCACGTCCCTTAGTGTGAGCCACATGGGACAAGAAAACTCTGTTTGCTGCGAGCCTGCTGTGCTAAGCTGCTGCTGGGTAAAACTAAACTTTACAAATGGACACGGACAAACGGTTTGCAGGTCTGGCACAATTAGGGACAGAACAAACAATATGTCCTTTGATGATTTTTATCATTTCATGTGTTTACTGATGGGTAAAGACAAAGCTAACAGGATGGACGGCATGCTATGCTACAGGAATATGTGTTGAGCTGTTATTGAAGCTTGGACAAGCTTTATTTCACTAAGGGTTTAAACACTGATATAACATTAGTGTTCATATGTTCCTTAGATGCTCATTACATTTCCATTACAAAGTATGACCAAGAGTCATTTAGTGGAATCCTGATGTCTATTCGCTGCTAGCTATTTGGAAGAGGGTAAAGAATCATTTAACTAAAGGTTATTGGTTCCTGGTTAAGCAAATCATTTAATAAAACATTATTTGGCCAAATAATGTTTTATTCACCTCATGGATTTGCATTGTGAATTGGTCTGAAAACATTCCAATTTCTTTAAAATTAGTGAAAAGCTAATTTGATCATATCCCAAATTTTTCCAGATAAACTTTGGTTTTCAAACACAAAATCCATCTTAAACTGTAATATGTTTTTCAACCATCTTCCGCTTCCTCTTTGTACATAGTAGTTTAGTTTAGTTTCAGTTAAGAATTTTAAGCTGGCTGGGAATTGAATATAACAGTTATTCATAACATTAATATGGCATCCAACTTGGATTGGCATTGAATATATATTATTCATAACACCATGCAGGCAGTGGCACCCGGCCCATAGGGGGCGCTGGGGCACCGCCCTCCCTGATAAGAAGAGAGAAACGTAAAATATATTTTTAGAAATTAACTCATAAATGTCAGTTTTACTCTCTAGAGTGTTTACATATAAGCAAAACAAATTATATAAACTACATTTCCCTATCTACTGTCATTAATTTGTGGATTTCCACAGACAGACTCCTACCGTCTCTGTTCTGGGGGCGCTGATCAGACAGCCCCACATTTGCAGAGAATCTGTCAATCATGTACTATTGCTAGGTGAATTTAATGGCCAATCAGCATCTCAGAACTTTATGGTCTTGGGGATCTGAAAATAC